CTCGACGAAGAAGACGGCCGCGGTGGTGAGGGCGAAGACGCGGTCGCGGAAGATCAGGAAGTCCGGGAGCAGGTTTTTCAGGTTGGCCGGCTTCGGGGCCAGGCGCGAGCGGATGAAGAGGTTGGCCAGGCAGAGGAGCATGAGGTCCAGCAGGCCGACCACGCGGGTGGACCAGGCGAAGCCGATGCGCGGGAACAGGGCCTGCAGGACCAGCGGGAAGATGACGCCGCCCATGCTGCCGCCGGCCCCGATGGCGGAGATGGAGGGGGTGAAGACCAGCGAGGTGCCGAGCCCGCCGATCAGCCCGAACACGACGAAGAAATGCCAGTATCTCGTGCAGATCCCCAGCAGGAGTTGCGACGTCATGAGCAGGACGCTGCCGGCGAAGATGAGGTGGCGGGGTCCACAGGCGTCGAAGATGGGCCCGATCTGGATCCCGGCGAAGAAGGAGAGGAAGGCGTAGATGCCGAAGATCCATCCGAGGGCGCTTTCGGATACCGCCGAGAGTTGGTGCGTAGCGAGGTAGGCGTGGTAGGTGCCGATTGTGTTCATCATTCCTAGAGCGACCATCAGGCCGCTGAAGGAGCCGAGGACGCAAAGCCAGGCGCGAAGACCTCCTTCCGGGTAGCTGTTTCCGTGGACATCGGTGGAGACGGTTCTGGTAGCGGTCGCGAGGTTGGCAGATCGGTCCTCGTCATGGGTTGGGATGGTGGAGGGAGAACAGGACGAGGGAGAGTGGGATGAGGCGGAGCGCGCACAAGGACGACTGCCATGAGAGATGGGCTTTTCCAGGTCACAGCAGTAATTGTCGCCGTATGGTGCTGCTGCAACGGAGACACATGTGGTCTGGCGCGAGCTGGTGCTCGGTCGCTGTGGAAGAGGAGTGGATTCCAGGTTGCATTCTACCTCATCGTGATGAGATTTCTCCTTGTAGAGAGAAGGGGGATCGTCTTCGGGATCTGGGCTCTGGCCAGAGAAGCTCCATGGTCTCTGCTCTTGTCCAGGAAGTGCCTGGTCGTGCGAAGAGTCTGTTTGAGAAGATGCGGCGTTCAATTGACGGCTTGCATCTCGGTCGACCGAGGGAGTTCCGTGACATTCATCCGCTGTGGTCATGGACTGGCTGGCACGTAACTGTGACTATGCTGTGGCGAGGGAGCAGTTGTTATGTGTCGTGCAGACTGGATCGAGCACAGCAATATGGAGCAGCAGGTGGCAGTATGTAGGAGGGAGGGGCAAAATAACTTTTCCCCAGCTACGTAGTCGTGACTTGGAAGTATGAGAGGCCCGAAGCCCCATAATGTAACGCCAACTGGGAATTGGGAATTGGGAATTGGCAATTGGGAATTGGGAATTGGCAATTGGCAATTGGGCAATTGGGCACTGGGAGATCGACCTGTGGGGAACTGCCCGTCGGAAGCCGCCGAGGAAGATGTCGGCATCACATCACACGAGTCAGAATAACAATACTATGATGATGATGGTGATGGTGATGATGATGGTGATGATGATGGTGATGATGATAATAATGACAATGATAACGATAACGATAACGTATAATGTCATCATCACAATTGTATCGTCAGCTTGTATCGTCAGCGTAGCCACCAAGCAGTCTCTGCTGAAAGAGTAGGGGTGAGCACTGGGAGTGCACCGCCAAAGTCGCACGACGACGACGACGACGACGACGACGACGACGACAACAACAACGACCACGACGCTGCATCTAACTAGTGTAGTATCTTGCCCCAATTCTGTTCGCCACTGCCTGCACGCTACACGCGTCCATTTCAAACAACTCGGCCAAAAGAGATCGCAGAGACCTGGTCAGGCAGCATGACTTCAACACCAAATAGAGTAGTACTCCACGCGCCTCGCTAAATTCATGACATTCCCCAGCATTCCCCAATCGCAATGCCCGCTTTTGTGTATGTATGTATGTATAGCCTCTTTCCCGAGGTAATGTCCCCCCGGCTCTCGGTGAACGCCGGATGGTGCTGTAGATCCGGCCTCCTTGATCATCATGATGATGGTGAGACTCCATCTCTTTCGCTGTCCGAGATGGTCTCTTTTCCCGTCAAAGGTTTGCTAGGCAGGTCGTGAGCTTCCACTTTCCGTAAACTCATGCTTCCTGTGCTCGTCACGGTTTTGGTGCCGTGCACTTTCGGAACAGCTGAAGCGGCGTGTTCACCCTCCTCTTCATGGATCGTCGGACAGTATTTGTTGAGCACCTTCTTCAGCTCTGGCCTCCTAATGGGTTTGGGTAGGAAAAAATCCATCCCAGAGTCGTAGCAGTCCTTGATGTTCGACTCCTCCGCAAAGGCGGTCAGCGCAACGATGGGTGCCGAGAAGCCCATCTCCCGAATACGCTTGGTGGACTGGATGCCATCGAGGTTGGGCATTTGCACGTCCATGAAGACGAGGTCAAAGCGCGGGCCCGAGTTCATGGACTCGCGGACCACATCCAATGCTTCTTGCCCGTCCTTCGCAATCGTAACGTCTACCACGCGTTAGTAATGGCGTCAATGCTGGACACGGTGCTACTCACCATAGACACTCTCGAGCTTCAACATTCGCGTCACCACCTCCTGATTGACTTTGTTGTCTTCGGCCACGAGCACTCGCACCTTTTCTCCCGTCTTCGCTGCCTCGTACTCGGCCTTCTTCATCTCACTCAGCTTATTTTGAGGTGAGGGGGTCTGCGGTACCTCGGTCGGAAAGTAAGGCTGTGAAAAGCCCACGATACGAGGCACATCCTGGAGAGGGGGGCTTTCGGGTCCTAGCTCGTCGCTACTGACGTCGGTGACAATAATGTTGTTGGGCACCGCTTCGTCATGCAAGGCTGGTCCAGCGGTGCTCCCGGGTCGTGAACCGATGCGCATCTGTGACGACGAGGTGGATGCAGCTCGCTCTTTCATGTAGTGGAGAGGAATCTGTACGCTGAATGTGCTGCCAACACCGACAGTACTCTGCAGCGTGATGCTCCCTCCCATCAAATTGGCCAGCTGAGCACAGATGCTGAGCCCCAGACCGGTTCCAGCATACTTCTTGGTGAGGCCCAGATCACCCTGCACAAAAGGTTCAAAGATCCGGGACATCTGCTCCTCGGGAATGCCAGGTCCGGTGTCGGTCACAGAAAACTCAAAAACAAGCTGCTTAGTGTTCAGCCGCGGTGGTGACAGCGATCGCCGTCTGACTGCAATTTGCGGCAGCTGCTTTGCTGCGCCTGCCACATAGACGTTGATCTCCTTGCTTTTCTTGCTCTCTTTCCTCTTCCGCTCGCTCTCCTGGTCGGGGCTGGCCGAGGACGTCCGCACCGAGGTGTCAGAACCTCGCGCCTTCTTCCTCCATGAAGTCCGCGATTGCCGGGACTGCTTGGAGTGCACCGAAGCTTTTCGATGGCTACCTGACCCACCGACCACGTCAACATCCGCCAGCCCGGTACATTGGATCTTGACATGAACCGAGCCGCCAGGGGGGGTGAACTTGAGGCTGTTGCTGACCAGGTTGATGAGCACCTGAAGAATGCGGTTCCTGTCGCCCCAGAGACACATATCTCGCACCCGCCCAGTCCCAGCTGGACCATACAGCTTCGGGCCTGAATCCTCCCCAGAATTGCCAAACGCATCCGAGGTGCCCAGGAACTCAAGTTGAAGATCGATCTCTCCTTCCCGCGCCTGTTTTTCAAAGATTGATGTCACCTGCGTGCTGATGTCTACTAACCGGAACTCACTCTCATCGATGGTGAGCTGCTGACCAATCGAATTCTTGCTGAACGTCAACAGATCCGTCAGAAGATGTAGCAGCAGATCGCCAGACTTGTAGATGATGCCAAGCGACTGTCGGATCTTTCGGACGTCCTCCTCTTGCATGCACACGGTGCACATGCCGAGAATGCCGTTCAGAGGCGTCTTCAGCTCATGTGATATGTTGGCGATAAAAAGCGTCTTGCTTGCATTGGCAGCCTCGGCTGCCTTTTTACTTTCTTCCAGCTCGGCCGTGCGTTCCTTGACTCTCTCTTCCAGTCGAGCATATTGCAGGACAAGCTCGTCCGACATCTCGTTGAAGGTGGATGTAAGGTCCGAGAGCTCATCCTTGACCCAAACCTTCCGTTGGGGCACCTTGCCTGGGATCTTGAATGAGCGCTGTCGGCCACGCTGATCAGTTCCCGATCTGGCAGGACTTCGACCACAATGCTTCCACCGCGATAGAGCGCCAAGGAAACCTTCCTTCCGGGCCACCTCAGACGCGACAGCAGTCTCTTCGTCTCCGTGGTAGGCTTCGCCGTGGCCTTGCGAGTCGAGAGATTGATGGCTTGAATTGCCAGGTAGGATGGGGTGGACAGTCTTTGCAGTAGCTTCCCGTAGTTGTCGTATCGGTCGAACAGCAAAATGTGCAATGGGGAAGAGGAGGAGCATGATCAGGCCGGTCGTACCAAAGACGCAGGCCAATACTACATCTCGAAGATGGTTAACTGGCGCCACGACTTCATCATATGATTGCTCAAACAAGAGTATCCAATCCACAAGCGGGTTAGACAAAGTTGCGTATCCTACCGAGATCCTGTTCCCCTCTTCGTTCCGAGAGGATATCATCGCCCCGGCATTGTTGATGGCGGAATTGTTCCTCGTCCACGCATCAACCACGGCGGGGAAGTCGCGCATCGGAAACGGAAGAGAAGGATCTCCTTGCCCAAAAGCTCTTGCACGGTGTCGATTCCCCAGACTTGAATTGCTCTGAGGCGCAAAGACGTACCGTACCTCCTGATCCCCAGCAAATGCAGCATCTGACCCCTGGACACTTTGGCTGAACACGTTCGTTCGTGCCGCAGGCCCCACCAAGAGCAATTGTCCTGTTTCTTGCAGGCCTTCCGGGGAAGTGATGACATCGTAAATCGACGAAGGGTTGAGTAAAACTGTCAACCAGCCTAGAACATCCTCATGAGAGGTATTGTTTTTGACAGCGACGGTCATGGAAAGAAGCTGGAAGGTCTGGTTGACTGCGTAGGGACCGAGAATAAGTGTGGCGTCCGGAAGCACCTCGTTGCCGTCGTAGAATGCACGCGACTGGTTAAATGTCCCATTGACTGGTGTAGAGGTATATGTGAAGTTTGGATAAAGCTTTGGTGGATAACCAAGACCAGTATCGCCCAGATAGACCTGACTCCCATTGGCATTGACTGCTGGTAGCTGAACTCGACCGCCTGGGATTTCGCCCGTTACATTGACCAGCCCATGAATGTTTCCAGTGCCTGAATCATTCTTTGGGAAGATGATGGCTTGTAGGAGGATATTGTTTGTCCCGGACATTGCACCTTGGAGGTCGACATAGGTTCGCGCCCAGTTGGCTGTGGTGTCATTTCCTGAGAGGCGGTCTGTTAGCAGCAAGCATTATCTCCCACTCTGAACAACTCAAATTTGAATGTTCTCACCGTTGTTGTAGCGTTGCAAAGCACTCTGGATCATGATCCGGGTCGCAATAGCCTGCACCGAAGTTTGAAAGAGGAGCAGACTCGCGGAGACCTGGGCAGATTTGACCGAGGCGGTGAGCGACAATGCTGACTGGCGAATGCTGATGATGAATCCATGATTCTGTGTCCAGGTTGCAGCGGCCAGAACCATCAATGCGAAGAGACAGCAGAACAGCACCAGCAGCCCCAGCTGCTCTCTGATAGGTATCCGCATACTGGTCTCTTACCACACAGGCTCTTGTTGTTGGCCCCGGACGTTCATCAACGATAGAAGCAGGGTCAATCTATCAGGTATGAGCCTTCTGCACCCTTGCCCAGAACTCTTATCCCGGGTGTCCCATCCTGGCACTGTCGGCCAGGTGTTCGAAAAGCCCGGAGCCAACACAACAGAGGGGCACCCGGTGGAAGAGGTCGTAGGGAAATTTGACGGCGACGTTCCTCGAAATGCGTGTAACTAGCAGGATTTAGTTCACAGATATGCTCGGCAGTATGATCGTCCAGCACAGTGTGTTCAAGGCTTTGTTCGGAATGTCAGGATAGAATTAGGAACGAGTAGACACGCGTCTTTGTCTTCACTGTAGCGACAGGGGTGGAGAGCTGGCTGCTTGAGGACAAGTCGTCAATCAAACCGCTGATGACAACTGATTGAATAGACACTTTGAGGTTTACCACAGCTACAAGCCCACTGCCCATGCTTTAGACGCCAGCGTGAGGAGGACGGACTAGGAAATTAAGGTTCATTAACATGGCGGGTCTTCTTGGAGGTAGAAGTCGGAGGTGTACTCTCCCGCAGCCGGATGCTGATAGCGCACGCCATTAAGACCACTAGTAATGATAGTACAATAAGTCTTCTTGAGTGCTCATGATTGCTCTCAACAATTTGTACTACTTTTACTTATAGATTGTTAAGAAGAAGCCTATTGAAATAGCAATCTAGATTATTTAGCGTGCACTCGGTTGAAAATAGTTATGTCCGGGTGTGCTCCATTATCCCATGTCGTTGGGCCAAAGCGACAGCTTCAGGGAGCACAACCACTTAAATCAGTAGTACAATACCCTTCAGCCTCGGCCACCACGGCTTGGCATTCCTGACAAATTGTTCCCGACGGCTATGATCAATCATAATCAGTTAAGACAATCTGTATTACATGTGTATATAAATTGGTAAGCAGATTTCTATTAAAATAGGAATCTAGATTATTTAATACACACTCAGTTAAAATAATTCTTCTTGATTAATCGTGCTCAATCACAACCACAACGATTTTGGTACTACATTTTACATACAACCTGTTCTAGCCGACTCAGTGACTCAGGAAGACTTACTATACAGTTTTTGAATACCAAGATAAAACAGGGCTAAATATCACCTAATGTACACTAATGAGGGTCCAGCTGTGGGTAACGTACTCCTCTATATTTACCTCGGCCTTCTTGTGGAACCAAATCGGATGACTAAGTCGGAGGCAGTAGTAAGCCCAGCCTTGGCAGCCGGTAACCTCCGCTCCCTGGGTGGTTCACCCCCTGATGGTGTAGCGAATAAACCTTATGGTGTTTTCGTTATTTAGGACGTACGCTGCTTAAAAGCATAGCGGATGCCGTTGCTAAGCAAACTCTTGCAGAAGACCTTGAGACATCCTCATGAACATGTAAATTTGGACAAGGACAGCATGTATCGTCGTCGGCACCAACAAGTCCATAACAACCATCATCACCAAGGGAAAGAGTCATGTTCATAGATATCTATGTCTCGTGTCCACGTCCCCCACACCATCTCGCTCTTGGACCCTGGTCGCACATTGAGTCTCCTCCTGCTGATCAGCACAGGATCGATCAGATACCAAGACTTGAAGTGAACATGATACGCAGTATACACTCGCTCAGGGAACAAACGCCGAACATGGAAATTTCTCGTACGCCGAGATATGCAAGAGAGTTTAACTCAACAGGAGACATGAAGGTAAGTAATAGTGGAAGCAAAGCATCAACCTCCTCATCAGGTGCTGTGCGATCGATAGAGTTGAGAGACACCGACCTGCACAGCATTAGTCGTCTAGCAAGATGGAACGTGGGACAATACTTACTCGTGCCAAAGGATCTTTCTGGTCTTCTTGCTCTAGCGACGGACTTGCCATGCTGCTATGGTTGATTGGACTAGAACTGGTGACTGCACGCTCCGTATATGTTGGTCTGGGGCCGTCGTCCGTGGCTTCGTCACATACAATCGAGATTGTGCTTGTCCTCGTATTGCTTGTGGTCGACTCGGCCGAGCCACGTAATGCATCTTTAACTCCCAATGGACCCATGGACACCGTCTTCAGAATAGTCTGCATCATTGCATTCTGCTTCAGAGGTTTGGAGAGGTACTCGTCCATCTGTGCCGCAATACACTTTTCTCGATCGCCTAACATGGCATGCGCAGTCAGGGCGATAATAGGCGTTCGATTTAAATTGTGCTCCTTCTCGTAGGCACGGATTTTCCCAGTGGCCTCGAAACCGCCCATGACGGGCATCTGCACGTCCATGAGAACCACGTCAAACCTCTTCTCCTTGACACGATTGAACGCCTCTAGGCCGTTGGGCACAACCTCCACGAGATGATTGTACTTCTGTAGGATCTTAATGGCAACTCTTTGGTTGACCTCGTTGTCTTCGGCAAGGAGAATCTCGAATGAGCGCGACGTGTCCTTGATTGTAGGGGCAGATCTTCCCTCGAGCGCGGGTATCATACCATTCCCCAGGTCGATGGTCTTGCACGGTGTCGTCATATATGAAGTGATCCCGAGGTCAAGTGCTGACTTCAGACTGAGGGAGACCACAGGGCAGAGCAAGACAATGGGGATATATTTGAAGTCCGCCATTGTACGGATGGACCGTGCAGTCTCGACATCGTCCACGATCACGACGTCGTAATTGTGGCCAGTCTCTTGCCCACTAGCATCACGTTTCTCTGGGGGCGGGATGTCTTTTACACGCTGCAGCGTCAGACTATCCAACCCAAGCTGGCTGAGCATGGACCTGATCTCGTCTCTTTCACCCGTCACACCTGTGTCAATAAACACAACCCGATGGCGTTGATAGGGGTGCAATTGAGAGCTGATTTGTTTGATGTCGTGGTCAGCAATCTTGACGACGCAGGAGAAATGGAAATTGCTGCCACGTCCGAAGTCTGAGGTCACCCACACCTCTCCACCCATCAAGTTCACAAGTCGTTTCGAGATGGACAGACCCAGGCCAGTGCCTCCAAACTTCCGCGTTGTGGAGCCGTCCGCTTGCTGGAAAGTATCGAAAATGAGGTTGAGCTTGTCTGATTCGATGCCAATGCCAGTGTCTGAGACGACAAACTCGAAGGGAAAGTCATCTGGCCCACATGCCGAGACCTTCCTGCCAGTGCATTTCTTGATCAGCACCCTGACTCCCCCACTCTCTGTGAATTTGATAGCGTTGCCAACAAGATTGAGGATGATCTGTCTCAGTCGGAATGGATCTCCGATAACATAGTCGGGTACAGAGCCATCAACATCAAAAGCGAGGCTTAGCGATTTCTCGTTGGCTTTCACGGCCAAAGACTTCAGAGCATTGAAAACCGTGCCTCGAACGGTAAAGGGAATCGTCTCAATGATCATTCGATTCGCCTCAATCTTTGAGATGTCTAGAATGTCATCAATGATGGTGAGCAGGCTGTTAGCTAGGTTATGGACCACGTTGAGCATTTCTCGAGGGTACGGCTTCAGGTCGTCAGTGTCCAAAGTCAGCTGTGTCATACCAATAATACCGTTCATTGGCGTCCGAATCTCGTGGCTCATATTTGCCAGGAACTCCGATTTGGTTTTGTTAGCCAGTTCGGCGGCTTCTCTCGCCGTGGTGTTCCTTTGAATGCTGTCGCGAAGATTAGACACCATTTTGTTTATCTTTCGTTTCAGCTCGTCCATCTCGCCAGAAGCGTTGACCGAGATAAGCTTCGAAAAATCTCCTTCCGTAGCGGCATCGGTGATTTCGCCAAATGCACGTACTTGGGAGGTCAAATTCTCAGCCATCGTGTTAACATCCTCGGTAATCTCTTTCCATCGTCCGCTGATATCCTGCACGTTGGCCTGACCTCCCATCTTACCATCGACTCCGACATCTCGAGCCACCCTTTTCAATTCGTGGGCAAAGGTTGCCAAGCGATCAACCATGTTGTTGATAGTAATCTTGAGCGTTAAGATCTCACCCTGGGCATGAACCTCGATTTTTTTGCCAAGGTCACCGGCCGCAATGGCTTGTGTAACGTGGGAAATGGATCTCACTTGGGACGTGAGATTTGATGCCATGGTGTTCACGTTATCGGTAAGCTCTCTCCACTTCCCTTCAACGTTGTCGACCTTCGCTTGGCCACCTAAGGTACCATCCGTGCCGACTTCCCGAGCCACTTTGCTGACCTCAAAAGCGAAGGTGTTCAGTCTATCCACCATGGCATTGATGGTGAGTTTTAAGCTGAGGATTTCACCTTGCACGTCCGCAGTGACCTTCTTGGAGAGATCCCCATTCGCCACCGCTGTGGTAACTGTGGCTATCTCCCGGACCTGAGTTGTGAGGTTGTTGGCCATACCATTGACATTTTCGGTGAGATGCTTCCAGGTGCCTTCCACGTCATGCACGGTCGCTTGACCACCAAGGACCCCATTCGTACCGACCTCTTTGGCAATCTTGGTAACCTCTTGCGCAAACTGTTTAAGCTGGTCGACCATGTTATTGATTGTGTCCTTGAGTTGGAGAATCTCGCCTTTGCAACTCGCAGTGACCTTGCGGGTCAGATCACCTCTGGCCACGGCCGTGGTCACGGCTGCAATGTCTCGGACCTGTGTGGTGAGATTATCTGCCATGGCATTGACGTTGACAGTCAGCTCATTCCAGGTTCCCTGCACGCCATCGATTTGAGCTTGCCCGCCTAAGACTCCTTCTGTTCCCACGTCTCGGGCTACACGGGTGACTTCCGTGGCGAATGTCCGCAACTGGTCTACCATGGTGTTGATGGTCTGTTGAAGGTCAAGGATTTCTCCACTAGCTTTGCTTTGCACCTTCTGGCTCAGATCACCTTGGGCCACAGCTTTTGTGACTGCGGCGATTTCCCGGACTTGATCTGTCAAGTTGGAGGCCATTATATTGACTAAGCAATGGTCAGCCAATGGCTATCAATGAATCCAGCATCCAGACTTACCATTTTCTGTCAATTCTTTCCATATACCGTGTACGCCACTGATCTGAGCCTGGCCTCCCAAAGTGCCTTCAGTGCCCACCTCTCTCGCTACCCTCGAGACTTCGCTACCAAAAACTTCCAATTGGTCCATCATGGTATTTATGGTCCTCTTGAACGTAGCAATTTCAGCATCCATTTCGTAAGCCTGGACTTGGACGCGCATAGACAGATCTCCATTGGCAACTTGTGTGATGATCCCACCGATCTCGCGTAGTGCTTTCTGAAATGCCTCATTTGCCTGTTGGTGTTTTCGCAGCTCCCTTTCAAGTATGCCAACGTCCTCCGTCTCCACCTTCTGAAAGGCTATCTTCGCCCTCTCATCTGACTCGTGCAGGCCCCTGCTGATGTCAGCAATCATGTCTTTTTGTGACCTGATCTGCTCAGCTTGCTTGTGAACGTGCTCCCGCAGGTAGCTGATATCGTCTTCGCTGACAGTTCTCACTGTATCCAGATCGCCACTTCTGGAATCACGCGCGGCGAGAAGATTGTTCACCCGTAGCGATCGATTAGACACCGATCCCTGACGAACAGGGGAGCGTGTGTATTCGGCTCTGGACAGTGGGCCATTTTGAGGCTTGTTGTCCTCACTCCTGGCAAACGGCGACGCTGGATTTGGAAATTCGTTCGGAGTGTCGGGTAGGGTCTGGTTGACTGTGTCTGCCCTTGATTCGAGATATTGTATTCTCTGAGACAGAGCGTATAATTCAGCCTCGAGATTATCCTTGGATATGCTTCGCGGCCCAGGAAGTTTGCATCGATGCAAATCTAAACTGGCAGCAGAGCCAGGAGTGCTCCTCGGGTCTTGAGGGGAGGGATTCTGTGAGGATGCCCCGCGGCCAAGACCACGAATAAAAGATGCAGCGGACGCCAAAATCTCGTCTTGTCGAGACATGGCGGCTGATAAAGGTTTGACTAGTTGTAAGGAGGCATGTGTGTAATTTTCTAGATGACTGCAATTGGCCTTTGCCTGGTTGAACGGAGTTGATTGAGGCCAAAAACAGCGCAGGCAAAAGGAGGGAAGGGCCAGGGTTCTGTCGATCAGAATCGGTACACGGCTGATCGAGGGTTAGCAAATTGTGATGAGTGGAGCTCAAAGGCAGTGAAAGAAGTCTGTTTATGACGCTGAAGCTGATGATTCAAGATGTATTGACTGGGCTGCGGTAGTGGTTCGTTGTTGGTTTTCAAGCGGTTCGGGATAGGCGTTAGGACGTGGCAGCGGATCCCTTTGATCAATAGGATGACAAGGCTGAGTGGTTAGAGAAGACGAACAGGTCGGAAAGAATCCTGGAACAGAATGTGCGATGCGCAAAGCAAGAGAGTGACTAGGAGAGCTTAGGAGTCTACTTGAGGTGTCAGGTTGCCCAGTTCCAGGGAATAGAGGTTCGGAATTGGTTGTCGCCTGAGATAGTGAACGAATATGCGCGCCTGGGAACGTCGAGCTTAGTAGCTGCAGAGCTTGACGCTGTGGCAAGGGGGGGTAAAGGGAGGCCTTGCTTGTGGTTGAGTGGCGACAAAGCAATGAGAAATGAAGTAAGACTATCGAATATCGTATCAATAACCGGTTCAGGGGGGTTCTAGAGGTGGGAAGAATCTTTGCTTTTGGGGGCATGACAATGCTAACAACCCACTAAACAAAGCTTGCTCTGGGAAACCCTGTTTACCCCCAAGAAGTAGGAGGGCTATCAGGTCTGGCTCATTCTGATGTAGTTATTGCAGTACGACACGCCACTCTCTGGCTCAGCACCTTCAAGCTCCTACTCTTATGAGTGTTGAGGTAGCAATGACAAGTTACTAGTGGATATTGTGATGGCACTCATCCCGCGTAACAGCTTGAAGATAGAGAGTAGTACCGCCTTACAACTTCACCCCCACATTCTCCCCAAAAGTGGTACAAAGCTGAAGAGCAAGACGTGCTCACTCGAGAGTTGACCTGTTCAGCTTTTCCACAGCCGCGGATCAAGTCTCCCTAACCAATAATTGGCAACCTCGCTGATTAGGGCCCAGATTTATTTTAGGGGGCCGCATCCTAACCAATGAGGTCGCTCGTGCAGGAAATACCCAAGCCCACACGTCACTAGAAGCACCCCTGGGAGTAGCCGCGATTCCGAGGAGATTGCCCGTGGAGAGAACGCTCATACTACGTACGGTGAGCGTGAAGGAGAGGGCAAGCGCCAGCGAAAGAGGGACGCGCCGTGAAACACGCTGGCGAATGAAGTGATATACAGGGGAGATTTTTGTGCGGGAGGATCGACAGAATGAACGGGTTTTATGTTTCACTGGTGGGCCCCTTTTGCATTTGCATTGCCTCACCCGCTGCCTCACCGGCCGCCGATCCAAGCCGAGCTGTCTTGCTGACATGTGGACCACGAATCCGACATTTGCAAGCTGATTCAGCTGTCTGGTTATTGGTACTGAGTATTGCATTGTGGCTGTGTGGCACAGCATCAACCACGATGAGCGTGAAACTAAGATCTAAGTACATATGTATATACGGAGTACAATAACTCTTTCCCTTTCTCTTGCCTTTAAACCGTCAATGTCATAGGTGCTCACGAGTAATCCTGACCTTGTCCCACTTCCTGATCAGTTTCTTCAACCCTTTGCACCAGCTCCTTCGTTTCCCTCGCGATCTCGAAAGCCAAAGGCGGCAATTGGGACAGGAAGTCTTTCACTCGCTTCTTCTCGCTCAGGGCTTCACTTTCGGCACTGGCACTGATGAGTCTCGACCTGCAGTTTGTGAGATTGAGGACGATCGGTTCAACGCTTGCACGGAGCGATGCGGACGAGGCTATGGAGTCCCCGGTTGCGGTGATGACTTCCCCGACAACGTCGGCGATGGTAGAAATATGTGTGCGAATCTGAGGCAGGTCGGCTTCAGCACGAATGGAGCCCACGAGCGTTTGGATAGAATGGACTAGGGAGTCGGTTTGGTCTTCTAAGTAGAGCTAAGGAAACATCTCACATCAGCATTTATCATTTCTTCCAAGTCCGTGGAGAAGGGCGTTGTGCTCTTACCTTGAGATCTTCCAACTCCCCATCCTCCTGAGCTCTCATGCCAAATCCGAGCTGTACGCCTGCTGGATCTGATTCGCCAGGTCCACCATATCCTGTTGTAGTAGTGCTGCCATTACTACTTTTTGACCCAGATGTCAAATGCGTGGCTGTATTCGCGCCAGATGAACCGACACTCCCATGTGGTGTGCTAACAGCACTGTAGATACTGTCATTGGCACTCTGGTTCCTCATGTGGCTGGGCTCGACATTGAAGTAGGTAGAGTCTTTCATTGATTCCGTGTTCGCCACTATTTCGTCCTCGTCGTCCACTTCTCCCGGCGGCGTAGGTCGAATCTTGACCACCCGCACCAGCTCGACGACCGCCATCGTCAGATGACTAGCAGCTGCATCCAGTAAACTGACAGGCGAAATGCCGTTCGAGGAAGCAAAGTTTTTCGAGGCGGTGATGACATTGTTGGCTGTAGCTGACACCTTGGACTTCAGCCTACCTCGTCGATGCGCTTTCTCGTCATCCTTATCAGCCATGCCAGCAGCATCAACATCGCTCGTAATGCTTCGAACGGCTACCACGACAGACTTCATATGTTCCAGCACAGCCGATGGGTCTTCGGTCCGGGCGATCCTCAGTAGTTCATCGATTGAGATCTGGAACTTGGTGACATGTACATCCTTCACCAGGCCGTCAGATTGAGTAAACTCATCGGCCTTCACATATCGAGCCGCGTCCGGCCTCTGCATTGACAGACCAATGGAAGAAGCGCGCAAGTTACGTAGTTGAGCCTTCAACTTTGCATAGCGGCCCTTCCATTCCTTGACCTCTTCCTCGAGTCTTCTCACATCGTTTCTGAGCTTATCTTCCCTTTCCCAGTTGGATCCTCCACTCTCTGCCATCACGCGCATCTCGTTCAGGAACCCGGAAGCTTGCTGTCTCACTTCTTCGGTAACGTGCTGCTGCTCTCGCAATTTTGCTTGCAAGGCTTTATGTTCACTTTCCAGCTGATCGTACTTTGCTTTCCAACCACCATCACTTGCTTGCGAGCGTTTTGCCTTGTCCAGCTGTGAGCGCAGATCTCGTTCCACATTTGCCTGGTCAGTGTGGGCTCGATCTAGCTGATCTTTCATCGAACGATTTAGCGACTCCGCATCTCCCAGCCTCTTCTCCAAGTCCTGCTTCACATCGATCCAATCACTTTCCGTCGAGCGACTCTGCTCCGCGTCCTGCAACCTACCAATTTCCTCGTCCTTGAGGCTCAAGCTGATTTCCAGCTCCTCTATCCTGGACTGCAACTCTTTGGCTTTGGAATGAGCTTCTGCGAGCTTCGCGTTCATCACGGAGCCCGATCCACTTCGCGTTGTTGCAGTTGTGTCCCTTGGGCTCTCTGTGCCCACACCAGCTTGACCATCCAGGCCAAATGCATCACTTTGTCTGTCGTTCTCATACGGTTCGTCATATATTGCAAAATCGTCCTCTTCATCCTCCACCATAGTACTTTTATTAGGAGTTATAGTATTACTCTGAAATTGTTTCGGCATTGGCTTTCCATAGTCACTTTCTGGGCTAAGCGCACTCTTTTCACCAAAGCCCTCCGCTCCAGGCGGAGGGCTACTTAGCGAACCCTCTCTTACAGGTTGCCGCTGGCCATTCATCCGGAAACCTACGGGGGGCGACCCGGGTCCTCCACCAGAAACTCCTCGAGGAGGACGGCCAAATGCGGTTGATCCAGGTGGCCCAGGGCGGAGACCGTTAGGAGTTGGTCCTCGAGAAGGAAGGCTCCCATGTATGCTGGATGATGGACTCCCTCGCCGGCTCAAGTTCATGTTTCTGAAGTGTGGAAATCTCCTTTCTAGTTCACAGAAGACGTCGGTAGCCAGGTCACGGAAGCGCTGCGGCTGCAATGAAGAAAGCTTCTGCCGCGCCTGGTTCCGTTTCTCGTGAAACTCGGCTCGAGGTAGCAGATAAGGAGGAACATTTGGGGGTCGTTGAGGAGGCCGACCGGGAGGGGGTCGTGGGGGGGTTGCTGCTTGTCGCCGTATGAGCTCGTCGTACACATCTGTACTCAGCTCATGAAATTGAGTTGCTGACAATCGGAGCAGTTTATCTCTTGCTTTGTTCGGTCGAGGGGGTTGTGGCTGTCCTCCGTTTAGGTACCTCTTCAGGACATCATAATGTTGCGCAAGTTGATCTTCCATTCGTCTATACTTCATACTCTGCTGGTCGGACAATGTGCCATCACTTGAACGAGAGTTTGCGATCGAAGCCGGAGGTGAAGGTGCCTGCGATGCAGGTACCGACGGTCGTCGAGCCTCATCCATTGCTCCGAGGGGCATGCCATCAAAATTTCCATTTACGCCATTCCCTGTACCTCTATCTGGTGAATTACCCTGCGACCCATTCGCAGAGTAGGGCGATCGCAATCGAGGCATTGTTTGATAGCCATTTATTCCAGACCATTCACTTCCAGTAGTGGACACGGGAGAAAGTGTTTGACCCCGATTGGGAGGAAAGGAAGGGTTCATGGTTCGGAGGTTGACAACGTTGAGGATGGACTATGTTGCGCCTGCGAAGTCTTGAACTGTTTTGTCCGGTGCTACGGAGTCGCGCTTTCTTAGAGTCCCAGCTGAAGGTAGGAATGCAAGTGAGGTACTAAGGTTTGTCGGAGAGGTAATGTCGCTCGAGAAGGCAGGGGCATTTATGGAGAATTGATTGTAGATGTGCTTCCAATTCTCTTAACCACGTGTAGCATCAGGTTTTTAAGCGCAACGAGTGTCATTTTCCCACGCGAAAACGAGTGATGTGGAAAGAGAAGGAAAAAGGAGTTGCGGGTATTGGAGAGTGCGCTGCATGCAGGAGGTTCAACTACTACTAGTACTACGTAGTCCTAGTAAATGACTGACATGCCAAGATTAGCTACAATGAATCACAAACCTCGAAGTCGATTTGCTACGCTTGCGGACTCCAAAAATGTCAGGCTCTGCTTAATTTAACTCAACAGCGCTAAACGAAGTTCCCGTCCTCAAAATACCAGTCATGTTGATTATTGTTCCTCGCCTGGGTAGGCCTAATAGCAGAAACCCTCTGGATACTGATATTCAATCTAGGAACAGATCCAAGGATTACGTTTGCCAGGCATGAAGCATGATCCTTCAAGAAACTCAGCTATAGCCTTCGAAACATGTTTCGTGTCTCAAGTTCTTCCGAAGCGCTGCGGCTCAACTAAGTCAAGGCTGGCTGGTTCGTGCTGAAATGGTGGATTCTACCCAATGCCAGACATGCATGTACCCCCCCAACAAGTCAGTGGTTATTCCGTCTCCGCTGGAGTGATATATGCTTTCATAAGTAATGACCGTCTGGTCCCCACCACTGCGGTTCTTGAGTACAGCGCTAGGTGTTGGCGTGAAGGCTGTGAAGGTTGTAGTCCATTGCAAAAGGTCATGCATCACCCATGGACAGAGCGAGGACCCAAGTTCTGCTGTTGCTTTGCTTGGGATGAGAACTCGCCTCGATTCGGACAAGATTCAAACAGTCAATTATTTAAAAATGTAGTTCTGTCTGATCCAGACATATGACTGCCTGACTCTATGGAAATATTAACGACATTTCGAGTACCTGCGTTCTTCCCATGTCAATTCGGTTCTGTAAGCTTGGGAGTCTGTATACAACACTCCTTGTAGTTAGTGATAGGTCTCAAGAGAGAAATAACGACATTGCGTTCACTTGCTGGACGACTTCAAAACATCTTGTACATTGAAAATATCAAGTCCACTTACAGCGCCTTCCTGGCCTTCCTGTTGGTGATTGGGTGTTTTTGCAACAGACCAGAGTTAGCGTATCCGAACGGGAGGGTAAATTGTGTTGGCTGACAGCCTTGATGTAAATGAATACCAATGTGGCCGAGTTATTGAATAATGACAACGGTGGAGCAGCTGCTCGGCACGTGAAACACTTGGCATAGAATGGATATGCAACCTGATAAGTGTTGGCCCCGAGGGAAAGTTGGTGGATGCTAGCAAGAACATAGGTGAATCAGATGAAGCTGATCAAGCTCATTACCTCAGAGACTGATCGAAAGCGATTAAAGTTATCGTTCCGTCACACCACAAACTAGCAAAGTTCCCCTGAGTATCAATGAAACCATTACATATTGTCCAGCTTTCCCTGCGCAGCCTTCTTGCCCTCCTCACTGACTTGTGGATTGTTGATGGCACTAAATAGGAAGTATAAGCATCAGCGAGTCCAGACATAGTCAGCACAGGTGGAGGAGGCTCACGCTTTCAAGCCACCAGCGACATTACCTGGATTCTTATCTTTTGTCTCTCCAGTTTCGTCAGGAATGCTAGGTCCACCCTCCATGGCATCGAGCTGGGCACGAGCATTTTCCTTTGCCTCTTCTGAAACTTTGGGATTTGACAAAGTGCTGTACATGCATGAGTCATCAACAATGACCTTGAAGGACAGTGCATTCTCTTGCAACGGCTTACGATTTGAATCCGCGAGCTTGGTTTGACTGGTCTTCGATTGAACCCATTTTGCTATACGATTTTGAATGGGAATTAATCTTTGCAGGGGTTTACTTCCGGACTGTTGATGTTGGAGTGAATGGGCGGTGTCAGAAGTTAAAGATTGTTGGGTAACGAGTTTATTTACTTGGTCTCGTCTTTATATGCCGAGAGGGGCTTTGTAACCATCTCTATGACGCCAGTGGTGTATTTGTCACATCATGATGGGACGTGACGCGATGCGATAGCTCACAATTGGTTTCAAGGCAGCAAGAACGCACAACCAACTCCGAGCTGGCAAGAACGGAAATGATCATGGACACCTGTTTTATTGACGAAGCCAAACCAACCCAGGTACCGACCAGCCCAATTCAACGAGAGTCTAAAGCAGTCCCGTCTGAATCAACCGGTGAGGAATATTCTCGCCTGGAAGTACCGAAAGTGCGATGGCTGATACAATTATCTTACCATAGTCCCATAAAGCGGAATCCATTGCCTGTCGCAACAGTCCGTACCGGGGCCTCCCAGACGGAGCTTCGCCCCTGTGCCCGTGGGAATTTTCGATCCCATATCGCCCCCTAGTTCGAAATAAGTCCCCCTTCTCGATATCGTATGCCTTATCCGCTCCTCGACAAATTCGTAATCAACCACTACGGCACCGTCTCTTCCCACACAGAATCGGCGTCCTCGCTTGCATTGCATATACGGTAGGTGGAACGGGGTCGGTCTTCTCAATATAGCTATCGTCCCGAAACTCGCCAGAGGGTACGCCGCTGCCGGTGCCGTCATATCGTGCTTCGTACTGGTCTTCGGTGTCACGTCCGGCAGCTATAGCCATGGCAAAGTGGATCTGAATACTTTTGGGATCCTTCTAGAGTGAGATCGTGCTACGGTAGGTCCTTGCGTATATTATGTGTGCGTGAAGAAAGATGAAAGACGTTAGTAAGTTTATCAGGTCGATCTTGAGAAGGAGTGTCACAGCTGAAGTTCCTACGATCGCGTGAATTTATACCTATTAAGTTTACTACATCAGACTCCTGTCATCCTGCATATGCTAGAATCTACGGGAGCCATTGAGGAGTCTGGCAAGTGCAGATATACGGTCAAGGCCAGGAACTCGACGCATGGATGCCGGATACCAAGGAGCTGACCGCCCGCCATTTCGTCTCTCCTCTCATAGCCACTGGACCAAACGGTTCTTCCAGCCTTGGTAGCGACTACGATAACACTCTTGGATGGTGACCTGATCTCATGTTGACATAATCCCGGTTCATAGCAGGCAACAGACCTTGAGCACCGTGAAGGGCCCTGATAGTTACCGCTTCCTATACTGCTGCGCTTCGGACGTGCCGTAAAGCCCTCGGTACCGTCTCCGAGATCAACCGTCCTTCCTTTTTTATTCATATAGCATACTTTCGTAGTCGCTTTCACCTTGATTTCCACATACCTTTCCAAACTTAACTACTAAGCATTTCACTTCTGCAACAGTATTCAAACAAACTCACGCAACACGTCATCAATCACTTTGGACTCTATTGAACCATCGAATATCACCAGCGAGAATGCCCACCAACAGCTCAAATCCTGGCAACTTCGCCAACCGGTCGAAGGAAGAAGTCAAAGCAATCGCTAGCAAGGGCGGCAAGGCGGGCAGTGAGCACAAAGGATTTGCCAGCCAGAAGTACGACGACCAAAAGCACGTACGTCATATCCTCTGCATTCTCGCTGCCTCTTCCCTAACTTTCCGATATTTCATACCTCAAACTGGGGTCTTGCTATATTCTCATCTCTTCACCTTATGTCCACCACACCCACCTACTGTCTGCGGTCCCTTGCCGCAAAGATCAATGACCAGCTCACCTCTCCACAGCGCGAAGTAGCATCCAAAGGTGGCAAAGCGAGCAGCGGCAGCTTCCGACCCGGCGATGAGCGTGCTAGAGAAGCGGGCAGAAAAGGGGGCAAAGCCTCCAACCGCAGCAGCAATGGCGGCGGTAACAATGGCACCGCCGACTATGATGAGGATGACGACGACGGTGAATAGCGTCTGTGTCTGATGACCCTGAGCTGAGGCGGGAATGCCAGACTAGCCTGGTCGAGCGGCTAGCTGACAGCGAGCTTGTGCTTTGCTGTACTGTACTCGGCAGGGACTGGAACGGATGTGCTCGGGCGTTTTCAACCGCGAACATGCAGAGGTAGCGGTGCTCGATTTTCTTTTTGCTTTTGCGGGACAGAAAAACCATGGCCTGGGCTGCATGGCTAAATAGTTGGTCACTCACTCAATCGAAGCCCTGCAACACCAATCCACCTAGTTCCCAAGACCCTGCCTCGAGGCCAACACTCTCTCCCCGCCTCAGTGACTAACTAGTAACAATATCCAAACCAAGCCCTGCCTCAGTAGTAAGAAGCCATATCCAAATCCTGCCTCAGAAACCGCTCCGCAGGGGCCCCAACCGACAAAAAATCTTCCAGCTGGTGTGAATGCACAAAGAGAGGTTTGACTTCAACCTACAAGCCTCGGACTTGGCGTGACAAGAGACATAAAACATTGCGTGATGGACGGACGGACGGAAAGGCAGAACAAACGTTCTAAGTCAAAGGGGGAGGGGAGGGGAGACACGTTTCATGTCACACTACCACACTGTCACACGTCCACATGCACACAGGCATGTAGCCTTCCACCGGGGATTCGGATGCAGTGGTTGTTTCAACTGTATAATAGTTGCTGCAGTCACTATTGCAGTTCCGTGCACGGGCGCGGGCACTGCAGTGTCAAGAAATGCCAAGCCACTGGTCAGCCGGGAGGATTGATAGGCCACTGCACTGCACTGCAGGGGAGATCCGAAATCGCCGGATATTGGTGGACTATGGGATGGGAGGTGTGCGGTGCTATTTTGATTGGCCTACGGGTTGCGGGTTGCCGGGCTGTGGTTGTATAGTGGATGTAGAGAAAGGTGCATATACGAGAATTTTGTGAGGGAGGGGAGAGGGGAGGTGGGTAATGGGAAGGAATTGTTATGGACAGAGGTTTTTTGGTTTGGTTATCGTATTCTGCTGTCAGCATACATAATGGCTCTTCGAGAGTTCGAGACGTTGCTTGCAGAGTCTGAAGAGAACAAGGAGCAGTAAAGGGGATTGGGAAGCTGCTCGAATGGCCACGCCGGATTGCTCGGCTTCGAGCATTGCGCATTAGGTATTAAGTGCGGAATAAGGAGCCCGTTCCTTCCGCTAGCAGTTTCTCCCAGCAATCGTGCACATCTTGTATGACCACGGAGGCTTGGAGGGAAAGTAACAGCAGCACCAAATACTCTCGCTCCTCGATCCCTTGACTTGAAGCACTGTCATTTCACTCTGCATGTTGAACCTCACTCAATCTTTATTCTTCGGAAATTTGCGGAACAGATCCCCAATTTTATCCATCGGCGCGGCTAATAACCCAGCCAGCGTCTCAAAGGGTGGTCGGTTAGGTGCACTGGGATGACTGCGGCTAGGGACGAACATCTTGGTGCGTTCGAAGGATTTGGCAAGGCCGGCGCTGTCGTCCGCTGTAAGTGCTTTCTCGAGCTCTGGGAGATCGGAGCCTTCTTCCTCCTTTATGTGCTGGGACAAGTCGGCCATGAGCGCTTTGATGGTGGGTTCGAAACTAGGGTCGGTGGTTTCTAGGTTTTGGAAGGTTTTGAGGTGTTCTTTGAGCTTGATGGGGGTTAGTCAGGTGTAGATAGCGCAGTTTGGGGATCTTTCGAAGTGGAAACGAGAGGTTTATGTAAGACTCACAGTCTGATGCTGTGCACGGTCTTTCTCAGCTTGGTCCTTGCCCGTCACACCAAGGTTCTTCTCCATGGCAGGATACACGACGAGCTCTTCAGCAATTGAGTGTCGAGCAAGTTCCCAGCAGAATTGGTTCTGCCATCTGGTCTTGGTGTCATCGTCGGTAGCCCGCATCATCTTGTCATAGTAGTCTTCAAGCTCGCGGTGGTCAGTCTTGATGACATCGGATACTTTGTTGTAGGTTGAAGCTGTTCTGCTAAGGGAGGCGATTCTGATGAAGTCGAGGCGCGTTGAAGGAGGCGCTCTAAGGGTTCGCGTGAGAGCGACAGAGGAGGAGAGAATGCATGGGCGAATAGAGTTCATCTTGATCACCTGAAGACGTGGTTGTGAAGTGAGAGATTGATGATTGTTAGAGTGTGAGTGCCTTGGTGTTAGAAGGTTGAATGCCAGAGGGATTGTATCACTTCAATTTTTGAAAATACCCAGAGTATTCAAGTAGGAAACACAAGGCAGTTGTGTACTACGTAGCTGGCAACACGAGAATTGGTTACGCATTCCCAACACAGCAAATGTGACTGGTGGGAACTGCTCCGCACAAGGGTTGGTGCGGGGCTTGGTGCGGGTACTCAGCGCCGTAGACATCATCTCTATTGTACTGTTATGCACACCTACATTTCATTGCGTGGTATTGTTGGAGTTGTCAATTGAAGTTGCAGAATATTACGCGGTAATGACGTAAGGTCGACGTTTCGGCTTCCGCCAACCAATCAGAAGTTAGATCTCAAGCTAGTAGATCTCCCGCGTTTCCGGCTAAGGGCCGACGATCAAGTCTGTAGAAGTTTTCTGCTGCCTAAAGATTAACTTAGGTGTAAAGGCGACGGTAGACGAAAGGTCAAATCCTAAGTATAAGATGTACTACGTAAATACTAAGGTGCTAGTAGCTCCTCTTTCTACAAATTATCTCCAAGCCAAGCACAAGCCAAAAGTAGGACACGGGAGCACATCAGCGGATGATGTATTGGACCAGGATCTAGTTAAGAGTACAAATGACCTAAAAATCCGATTTCTATACGCAGAATGCAATAGAGCTGTTGATTGGGAAAGAATTTTGCAGTTGGCCTCCGCCTTTCGCAACCCCTTGTATGCGATACAACTGTGACGGATTGATAAAATCAAGTGAAATAGCAATCCAGATTGTTCAAGAGTTGTAAACTACCCAAACCAGTCATCCAGGCAAGTGAATTTTAATTGCGAGCATCATTCGCGGTAGGGTTGACTGGTCCGGAAGCAGAAGATCGGCATTGCGCAAAGCCAGATGAGTTTGGATCGAGTTGACTAGTACAGATGCATTATGATCATGGCGAAGACTGGATGTAATATGCTGGCATCACCCATTTTGCTCGAAGTCATTGAAGGTCGCCCTAGACACCAAAACGCTACCGTACATAATATCACAAAGGTTGTGGTCGCGACCACTGCCGTGGATGGGACGGGTGTACGCCTTCATCGTCTTTGGGCCGGGTAATAAGGATAGTCGCTTGTCGCGGCTGGGGAATATATGATCCCATCTCCGCATTACCCTGTCGTCTTTGCTTGGATCTTGCAGGTTCATATATATGGCTACTTGCGCGCGGCTCAACAGATTCTCGTCGTTGATAGGTGGAATGCCAACCCTTGAGTGGGACAGACACCAGGAACAACGGATCCATGATCGACAGCGTAATTTTTGCTGCCATGTTCTCTGTGCGAATAGTCTCTGGAGTATCGCATTCTGCTGGGCCGCTTTATATCGTTTTCTGAAGAGGTCTGCGATTCTGGGACCTGACCTTTCGCCTTGGTGGTCGTCCTCGGCTCGACGCATCCGGACCTGAGCTTGGGGTATACTGGGGTCTTTTGCGATAGGGTTCGTCACGATCGACAGGCACTGTTCTTCCGGCTCTCTTTCTACCTGATCCACGTTTTCTTTCGTGGTGGGAGACAACTACTGATTCTGCATTACCCATGTTGAAAAGGTACAGCATTGGAAATAAGCAAAAGTTGGTGAGGTAGCTTTTGGTTGGTTCGCATTGGAACAGGACAATATGAACTGTGAAAAACACTTAGCAGCAGGGACATTGACGTAGTTTATATGAGAGAGCGCATATCAGCATAACCTCGGCGGCCCACGAAGGCACAATTTACAGAGTAAAGTTCTGCCTTGAGAGGCTTCTGTGGCTTGTGGCTTGTGGCTTTGCACATGACTTTCAAGAACATGAGGGGTTTCCTATTGGAACTTGAGTTTATGGGCCTCAACATGTTGCTATCTCGGGCCTTCTTTCAGCATGACGACGTCTTTGAGTGTGGAAGTGATCAGAGGAGGTCTTCAATCAATTCCTGAACACTATGCTGCGTGCTTTCTGTAAAATGGTTGGGAGAAAATTAATAGTATTTTAAGAGCCTCATGTATGCCAAGGCGCTACGGTTGACTCGGCCTGCATGGCGGGCCTGGAAATTCCTCCCCATTGCACTGCAACGCACAGTTCGAAAGTGACCACTTAACGTAGTATGCATCTGCCATTCTGAATGACCCCTTTACTTATTACGTCGTTCAATGACCTACCGCTCACCGAGTTGTATTGTAATACTGGCGAAGGTGTATTGTGGAATTGAAAATGAGGGTGGACGTGGACAGATTCCATGACCTGCACAGCTCGATATAGTTGTGATGGATCGAGTCTCAACGATTCGCGGTTGGGCAGCTTTGAATTGAGCATACCGAGCAGAGCTTTGAAAAGGACGCCTCCATCTCTGCGTTGTCAGCGGCTTCTCGATGTCGACCATTGTCATCCTGTAGTGCTGCGTACTTTTGGGCGCCTAACCAGCGCACATCACTGTCCGCTCACTAAACCAACCCTGAACAAGCGGCAAATACACTTTTGTGGCTGATTTGACCACCTCATCTGCCCTTCCATTGGCTTCGGTTGAGGATGACTACCAAGACATTCTTGTCGAGATAACAACTCAGTAGCCTAGCCTAAGGAGACATATGGGTTCTTCCAGAGCTCTGATGCAGCATGGAGTTGGATGATCTGATCTACGAAGAAGGCTGTGCCAGTCTAAGGTTCAAATCAGTACCGGTTCAGGCTTTCGAGATACGGGTTTTCGAGGTTCGCTGTGACACTGATATTGATATTGAAACCCACAAGACTAATATCGCACAGTCTGGCAGAGCAGACTGGCAAGAATCTGTGATTTCTCACGAACAAGGAATCCTTCGGATTCGGCCATGGCTTGATGCTCAAGTGGACTTCAAAAGTGCAAGGCATATCAACCATGACCCATCTCGTATTATTGGCGGGCTTCGTCTGCTTGTCCAGAAGTGGACCAGAGAGGATGGTGCTCTAGACGCGGACGTGCCGATTATGCCGTTCTTGAAATCCGATTTGACCAGATTATGGAACAGCTCTGTCTACCGCGTTCCTTCCCACTGGACTTCGCCCGCTGTCAGCAAATACCAGCAGATGTAAGGCATATCTCAACACTATACGGGAATAGACTTGAGGACAGGCTCGGTTGGCTTCCAGAGCACCACCTTTGTAGCGCACACTAACAATCCTTCCTCAGCCATCACTTGTCAGAGTCCCCGACTGCAGACTTGCATGACCCTGGTCTTGTCCCACGATCCAAGAAAAAAGAACACAAGTGGCTTCTTTGGGTATACGCAGGACGAAGGTGACAAGGTTCTGGCGACATTGAAGAAGAGCGCTCATCTTGCGTTGCATCCGCTGCTGATCCCAGCGCTAATTCACAGCGCCTGGTTCAAGATCATGTTCGATCAATATGCACAAACACATCGCGAGTTGAGGTTGGTGCAGCAAAACACTGACTTCATGGTAATGTTGCTTAACGATGGTCGATCGCAAATGAGTAATTTCGACAGAGAGATCCGGAACACCAATGATTCCATCCGCAGGGCCATGATCGAGCAGCATGCCCAGCTATCGACAGCTTTATCCGACTTTGTTGGCAAGCTTGGATCCGCTCTTGCAGAGGGGTTAGAGCTTGTCAGAAAGCTCTATCCTGCAGCATATAAAGATTATGGTCTCGAAGCTTACATCAAACATTGGATCTCGAGGACAGAGCGCCAGCTCGAGCATCGAGAACAGCTTTTGAAACGCATTGATGTACAGATTCAAGTGGTGCGTTGAATTATGAAAATCATGGCAGAAGTCAAAATAAAGAGCCGTGCTAACTAACCAAAGCTGTATACCTTCATGCAGCAAGCTGACAGTCGAACCAACATCCATATTGCTGAAGATACCCGCAAGGATAGCTCCGCCATGAAAAGTCTTGCTCTTATAACAACCATCTTTCTGCCCACGACGGCACTAGCGGTATGTACCATCCCCATTATTCATAACCACTTTTGTGGCAGTAGCGTATCAATTGTTTGACATGCAGTGCCGGAGTAAGTCGTCCACAAAGCTGTTCTCAGCGCTGATCTACAAAAGACCATCTTCAGTGTTAGCTCGTTCTTCTCGGATGCGGCAGACGGATCCGGACGTCTCGTTGTATCCTCTCAATTTTGGATTTTTTGGGCCGTAGCCGCCCCTATCACCTTCTTCACCGTCGTGCTGTGGTTTATCTGGATCAACCGAAAAGAGGTCAAAAAGTTCAGAGATACTTATAAGCATCGATTTTCTGATGAAGATGTCGAGCGGACACATGATAGCTCATCGGACTCGGATCGGAGTACGAGCAGAAATCCAGCTCAAGCCAGTCGTTCTCGAAGAGATTACGGAGGGGGTACTGATGAACGGGCTCATGCATCCTAAGGAGCTTGTTATGCTCGTGCAGCATTTGATATTGATATTGTTTGTCTACTTCGTGCTTTCGGTCTTTTGTTATCAGTATAGTCATACCTCCTTTATTTTCTGATGAGCTTCATGGTACCACCAGGCACACGAACAAACGCCATGAGTCGAAGTAACCATGTTTGACGGTTCTTGATCTATGCTCACCGAGCACTCTTCATTGGTGCATTCATGAGGAGCAGGTGGGACATAATATGACGAATGTCAAGGTTCTCTGGACGTTTCGGACGCAGCGTTTGGTCGTGCCAGTGATAGCAAATGTCATCCATTTACCAGTGACGGACACAGTCTTGCTGTTTCACCACCTAGCGTGTTGGAAGGATAGCTATGCCATTTCATGAAATGCTCCAACCCTTCTCAGCAACATATCTGTAACTCCCAGCAATTCATCGGGACGAACGACCCGCTTCGCATACGACACAGAATAGCATCGAAAGGACCACGAGCTCATTGCCCCCGCGTCCGCGGACGCTTAACCTCAGCCTCCAATACAACTTCAGGCCGCAATATTAGCGGCTGCGAATGTAGTCAGGCATATCCTTAGCGTTCATCGACTTCCACCAATCTTCACTACGCAGTCATTCTCGAATCTTGCCCCCAAAGTTATCAAGCAAAGCGCAATTGAAGACTACCGTGGCCGTAGACTCGAGTTCAGAAAAAAAACAATTCCGTTTGTGCTGGAGCCTGGAACGCTTTCTCTACTGCTGCAGCACGGTGATTCGCAGCCCGGATGTCTTTGAACAGGAGCCGTAGATGAAGATGAGGCGCAGGCGCGGGCGCGGTTTTTGTACAAACTTTCCAAAACAAGACAGCTTCTGATATAGGCTTGGGTCTGAGAGCTCAGGCATGGAGAACTTGTTCCAGACGAACTTGGAGCGAGGACCTTTATAGCTGACCATTCGCATCTGGGAAACTGCGCTGTGATGATTCGGTCTGCGCTACTTGGTTGCTGCTACAAATCAAACGCTCTACTTGAATATTTTATGGGCCCTTGATGCTTCCTTCGCTCAGAGGAATCTTGTTTTGGTACTTGGTTCATGAACTTTGCCCAATAAAGGTGGGTATAAACGCCGATACAATTCCCAAAATCCTTTCATCGCATCTTTTTAAAGCTCTCGATCCAGCGTATCCTCATCTGTCATGTCTCTTGTTCAGCGAAGCAGAATCCAAGCCTAGCGCTGTGCAAAGAGTATTGAGTCGAGCACTTTCTTTTGCATCTCCTACCCTTCAGCTTGTATCTCGTAAGCATTGCTCCTATGCTTAGGCTCGAATCGGAAGTCCTTGTGCGCCGGACCGAGGAACATCTCACTAGAACAGTCATATAAGCAACACATAGACATTGCATCAAAAGCAACCAAGGAAGGACATACCTGATCTTAATCCAGTCCCGGTAGTCCTCACTTGCCATCAGTGTCTCCAGTTCATCCCTCCCCCTATACGCAGGCGCACGATCCTGAATACTCGGCTCCATCCAGCCGCTACCGGCAGCTGTTGGCACCCTCTCCAACAATCCAATCGGCACGTAGCGACAAGCAAAGCTCAACCACTCGAGCAAAAACCTCCTCGTCGTCCCCACGCCCCACTCGTCACTTCCCCAGGCTTCGAGCCCATAGCGGCAAAACCGCTCAATATACCCCAGCCGCTCCGAAGACGATTTATCGAGGCTTTGCCCTGCGGCAATCTCTTCGAAGATCCATGGTTTCTGGAGAGCGCCGCGTGCGACCATGACAGTGTCGACGCCTGCTTCGGTGATGTGCGTATCGTAGGAGGTATGGGTGTAGCAGTCGCCGTTTCCGAGGAAGAAGACTTTGCTATCGGCTCCGGGCGGGAGGGTTCGGGGGTCCTGGGCGTGGATCGTGTCGCTTAGAGCGTCAGTTATATTGTTGAGCCGTTTGATGAGCGCGGCGGTGTCGGCGATGTATTCCCAATCTGCGGAGCGGGTGTAGCGTTGCTGTCTGCTGCGTCCGTGGAGGGTGATGGCCGCAACACCGCTCGTTGCACCGCCCAGACTTGCAATACTCGCCTCATCTCCCCCTCCTAGAATTAGGCGTTCGACCAGTTTCTGTGCGGTGGGTTTGCCGTCCTTGGTGCCCATGCGAATCTTGCAGGTTATAGGCGTGGTGCCTGAGACGACGTTCATGCCGTGCAGGATTTTCTCCAGTTTCGCAGGTGAATCCATGAGCGCAGAGCCGGCGCCTTCACGGTAGACCAGGTCGATTGGACAGCCGACGTTGAGGTCGATGCTGCGGAGGGAGTTCGGTGGGAGGAGGGCGGTGAGCACTTCGGTGGCTTTGGTGGCTACCCAGGGTTTGTTTGCGGCAATCTGGGCAGAGAAACGGGAGTCAGTCGATGGAATGTAGGCTGGGTGATTGTGGACGATGTTGTCTTTTTTGGTGAGGGTTGGTGGTTGTAGCTCGGATTCGTGGGCTTTGATAAGGGCCCATTCGGGCTTGTGGCCTTGTATGAGGGGGAGAGACATGGCCATTTCAGAGTAGGTGAATACTGCTCCTAGAGAGCTGCAAAGGCGACGGAATGGTAGATTGCCTTGGGTAGTCAAGGGAGCAAGGACTGGAGTGGATGGGTCGAAGTACAGACGGCGTTTTTCGGAGGGCAGGAATGGAGGTTCTTTATAGATGCAGCGATTGTCTTCCTTCGCCAACATGTCATTGTTCTGGGTATCAGCGGGTTCTGGAGACGAGGAATTGCCTCTTCTTCGGCCTTGATCAGTCTTAGTTTGGACACTGTCAAGCCACTTCAGATAGATCTCTGTTTTGGGAGTGTGAAATTTGCGCTTGGTAAGAGAGATGCGGACTTCAGGAGATATCGAATTGACCACGCCTATTCCAGTCTCTTCAATAGAGCTGGGCCGATCCTGAGACTTTTGTGCCTCGTCTTCCACCAGAATGAGCTCCTTCCTCCCGTCGGCGTGCTCGATTTGTTTGGAATGCGAACCAACAAAGCGACACTTCCAGCCAGCACGGCAGTAGCCTAGCACCTGCCAAACAGGGCATGTTCCATCAAAGGTGGTTAGATCCTCCCTCTTATGCTCCTTTAGATACTTCCTTAAGTTATGTTCGAAGCGACATCGCTCCCCATATGTGCATTCTGACGGTGAGAATTCCGGCGCGTGCGTCCGACTTGAGCAGAGGGCCACTTCATCTCGAGATTTGCCAAACTTTCGACCAGTGTTCTGGCCTTGATTCTTCCCTCTTTTCCTTGAATTGTTGCTGGCCGGAGCACGATCTTTGTGATGGAATGCTTCCGCTGCATCATCGTCGGCAGCATCCTGTTGAGGCTTCGGTGCAATACCTTGGTCTTTACCAAAACGAATGAGGTATTCCTCCCTGATGGGAGCAGTGCCCTTTCGTCTTTTGCCATCCTGGCCCTCCCAGTCTCTGGGCCCTGGTTCATCTAGCTTTCTCTTCTCGGCAACCGGTCCTTTGTTATTGCCTACTAGCGGCTCGACCTCGAAACCGTTCAGCAGTCCGGCATTTCCATTTCCATTGACTGCCGGCTCATGTGATACTGCCGGCTCATATGATTCTGCCATGGTGTGAATGGACTTCTAGGCATGAATCGGAGTGCAGATGTTTCCTTGTGAAAGCGTCACCCAACCATGCATGCGGTCAGAAACCAATCAGGGTTCGGGACTGACTTTGAATTCTGCATGGTTGCAAAAGTCTGGCTTTTTTGGGTGTGTGCCGAGGTTGACATATGACAGCGGCAGATCTTGGCGTAACTGTGCTGCGTCGCCATGCTACTACTAGTAGTAGTAGTACTATACTACGTAGTAGGGTGCCACCGCAGTGGCACAGAGGTACGTAGTAGAATACGAGGCCTCTGTGACTTGAGCTACTTGACTGGGTAGTCAGCTATTGTACGGAGTAGGGTCGTAGAATTATCCTGACCGAGCGACTGAAGATGTGATTGCCCTGGCCATGTTGATCCACATCTGATAGACGTCACGCCCCTGAAGATCAATATCTTGCCAAACACCAAAAGTCTTATCCTGACTGCTACGATCGATCACGGCATCTTCCTGACCCTGAACAGAGATACCGGGCTTGGGCCGAAGAAAGAGCAGGTTGTTCTAAAGCGATAGGCATATTCCGAGCCACTCGGATACAACCCAGCAATTTGGTGACCAGATCAACTACGCGTACCATTAATCCAGGTGGGATATGCCATTAGGGGTATGGGAGTACGGCTACTTTGACAGAGTTTCGTTGTGCTTCCAGCTCTGTTACCAGCATCGGGATTCGTGGACGCAGGCCCCTTAATACCAAGATCACTGGAAGTCAGGACGGTAACGAAGCTAGCTCCATTAATTGTGGATTACTCCTAACGACGTGGGACCTGCTAGAACACAGAGTGTGGCGTGGAGGTTGGGAGCTTGGGAGCTTGACAGCTCCCGAATACCTGGGTCATTCGTTTCCTCGGACCCACTCCGAGGAATCCGAGACGATTCCAAACGCTCATCACATCTTCCACGTGGTCTGTATCTTCTCCTTGCGTAGTTCACAATCATAGACCATAACAAGTGTCGTTCGCCTGCGCTCTCTGCCCTATTGCAGTTGCAACCGGGCAGTGACTCACTCGATGGGTGTGACAATCGAAGGCGCTCTACCCCTTGTCGATGCGAGCGCCTCTTCTTCAGCACGCAGCAAACAAAAGCGAAAGCCACAACCAGTCAAAACAGTGGGACTACTAACGTAGTAGTACATCCTGCCGCCATGGCGTCCAGGGTCCAGCAACTCCCCATGATGCCGGGCGGATGGAAGACTTGGCACTCAACTGCCTCTATTTACAGTAGTACTGGCCAACTACTACGTAGTACAGACAGCTACAGCAGCTAGCTTGCCTTTATATCGGTTTAGATTTCGTAATCTACGTAGTATCCGTTCTCACCTGGTTGTTGGGAGCAGAGACGGGTGTTAAGCTCGTCTTCAAACCCGATGTAAGCTGGCTCATTGGGTATGGTTAACAGTCACGGCGGCAAGTTGTCTTCTCAATCCGTCCTTCTGAAAGGGCGGCAGCCTGCCGAGTCTACCCGTTGAGCTCACGTGGTCAAGATGCCAATAATAATACTCAGCCCACATAATTCCGGCAATAATACCGCGACTGCCATGACGGAAGTCATGATTAACTCCCGCGGAATTGTACGTAGTAGTCTCAGGCCAAACCTTCATTCTCCTAATCAGCTAATAGAATAAACTTACTATGCAGTGGCCTGCAATGGCCTGCAATGGCCTGCAATGGCTTGCAATGGCCTGCAATGGCCTTCAATGGCCTTCAATGGCGTGCACACGGCTTGACCCTCCTGCTTTTGGAGGACCTAAACAACTGCCCGTTGTTGCTACTCGTCAGGCTTCAAAGCGGCGGTCAACCAACCAGCGAGTCACAATGACAGATCCTTCCCCTTCAGGGTTCTCCCGGCTTAAATGTGCCTAAGCTGGTTTAAGGGGGGTGGCATCTCAGCTAGAACAGCGTTAGCATCGGCTCTTCAACTGTTCTACTCTCCCCAAGTCACTCACTAATTTTTAGCATGCTTCTGGAGTCCAGACTTTATCGTCATCTCCCACGCTAATTCACTTTAACTTCCCTTCGTTCTTCTCCTCCGCCAAGTCGCCATGTAGACGACCGACCCTATCACCCTGTTCTATCCCATATAATCCCCTCTACCAAGCCTGCGGTCCAAAGTACAGTTACCGGTCATTCTTTCATCACTCTTTGTCATCCATCTTGTTCTATCTTGTGTTCATAATCTGCCACGTCACACACTTCTTGAAGGTGTATCATAGAGCAAAGAAAACAGCCCTATACCTGTATCTGCTTACAAGCCAGAAGACAGCATCGACAGCATCCTCCTCCTGCTCCTGTGTCTAGGTATTAATGCTCGACTACTCAGAGAGTCCTCCATCACTACATCACTCGCCGGCAACGAGTGACAACGTTCTTCCTACCTCAAGGGAATCTACTCCTCTTACTCCTGTTGGATTTGCCGCATCGATCAATCGGAGGTCAGAGAAAGATCGAGGCAAGGACGGCCATCTACCGTGGTTCAGGAGACCAATAGACGTGGGCACCGCGACAACAAGCCCATTCCCCGACTCCCCTCTTCTCGAGCCCGACTTCGACGATCACTCTTTTCCTCTGTTCGGAGCGTCGCCTCCTGCAGGCACCATGGCGGGTGCTGCTAACCCAATCGACATTGCCACCCGCCAGGCCTCTACATCACCACGCGGGCCACAATCCTCAAATCTGACTTCTGCGTTGCAGGGAAAGTTAGTTGGTGAAGCGAGGCATGTGCCAGGAATGAGTGGCAGTGAGCGAGTGGATATTTCAGACACCGGAAAGTCAGCAAACGTGGTGGATGGCGTCTCAGCAGGAGATAACGGCGCAAAACCAATCTCAATGAGAGGACTACCGGAAGATAAGATACGCCGAGGGAGTATGGCTCAAAGCATGACCGCAGGCATGAGTTGGGGTGGCATATCTGTGGGAAGCTGGATTCGAGACGAGTAAGTTAAACACCTAACAGGACAGTTGAGGTTGAGAGGGCCTGTCATGTCTCCCGTCTTCTATGTGCTGTGTACGCTGATGCTGGCTATTTTAGTATTATGATGTCGGGCACCTCTCCGTTCACATTCGGCAATTCGCCATCCTTTCACTCCTCTTCGTACCTTCCTAAACTTGAAGCCAACTTCATGCGCGATTTCTCCTGTTGCGGCATGACACTGCCTTCATTGCACGACTTATTGCAGCACTATGAGGAAGCTCATGCTCAGAAAACTTCGCAACAGAACAAGCCCAATACAGCCGATCAACCACAGATGCCGGATACTCGAGCCGCTATGGCCACCAACGTAGCTGCTGCTGTACAACAACAAGCTCAACAGCAAATCAATTACAAGCCGATCGCTCCAGCTCATCCCTCGGCTCGGTCCAACCAGCCACAGCAAGACTTGCGGAAAGCTTCCACCTGTTCGAGCAACTTGCAGGCATTTCCTGATATGGACACAGTAGAAGACATGGAAATGGATGATATGGATGGTGTGGAAGAGGATACACCGCCGCCGAACTTATATACCCAATCACACTCGAACAACCAATCACCGCAAGCACAATTCAGCCAGCCTCCTCAGCCCAGGTTACCTCAACTGAACATGAACCTATTGCAAGGCCATCAAGGCTTGAGGAACTCAACTCCGACTACCCCGGTTACGCAAGGCCGACAAGGCCATCCGTTTCAGAACAACCCAACTGTTTCCTCAGTCAACACACCAACATTGATGTCCAATCCAATGCAACAGCAATTTCAGGATCTCTCTGGCCAATATCGAGGCACTCCAGATTCATCAGCACCAGGGACACCGGCTGAGCTAGATGAAAGTATTATGAGCGGTATGGGGGACATGTCCATGCAAAACAACCCGCTTCTTATGGGAAATCAAACCCAGAACTTTGGCCTGGGAGGGTTTGGTGGGAACAGCGATATGATTGATTTGTGCATCGATGAACCCGCCAAGCGACTGTTCAGTCCCACTGGAGGGTATGGCAGTCAAAACCAGCAGTACGCCCATATGAGACTTGGCAGCGGACAATATGGTCCGAACAGTGATATTGCACGACGAATTAGAGAGCAACAGATGCTGGCCGGTGTACCAGATACCACCGCCGGTATGATGCCAAATGACGAGCCCAAGCCTTTCAGATGTCCTGTGATAGGGTGTGAGAAGGCATACAAGAATCAGAACGGGCTTAAATATCACAAATCTGTATGTACTCCTCGGATCCAGCCTTTCGTTTCTCTAACATATCTACAGCATGGTCACAATAACCAGCGACTTCACGATAACGCAGATGGCACATACTCGATTGTCAATCCAGAGACCTCGATTCCATACGAGGGTACACTAGGCATGGAGAAGGAGAAGCCGTACAAATGCGAGACATGCGGCAAGCGATACAAAAACCTGAACGGTCTCAAATATCACAAAACGCACTCACTGCCATGCAATCCAGAACTGCAAATCAATGGCGGCCCGGGCACATCTACTGGCATGATGCCAAACCAAAGCCCGAGTCAAACTCAAAACATGGGCGTCCCTGGAGCTGGTCTTTCTGGAGAAGCTGGCATAGCCTGAAGATGCAGTTCCTATGCAAAATTCGGTTTTTTACCATCTCTACGATTCTCTCGGCACATCTATCCCGAAGATGTTTTCACTCCCACCAATTTAATACGTTTTCGGTACGGAGGCTCGAGTCCTTCATGTATTGAAACGGGCGCTGTTATCGATGCCATTTTCCAGGTATTTCGTATAGACTGTCAACGGGTCATCTGTTGTCTGCTTATTCATCTGCTTACATAGAAGAGCTCTTCCGGCGTTCAAAAGTCTATCATTGACTTTGTTGTTTGCGAGAAAGCGTCTCCTATTCAGCTGTACGGGTTGAGTGTGGGTGTGATGGTCTGGCCCGGCTTCGGAAGTCTGGCTTGACTTCCTATTAGAAGAGCTAGATTTGTTCGGCGGTGCTTTCGGTTTTCACCACTTCACTATTGATACCCCATCTCGCATTGCTTTGCTGGCGCTTCTTGTGCCATGGAAAGAAAGAGGTGGAAGGACTCGTTAGATCTACACATGCTGCTGTGTGTACTAATTAGTAGTCGCTGAATCATCCACAGATTATACGGGGATGGCTATTGGAACATACAACACTTGGAGATTCTTTCTGCTTTGCTTGCTGTTGGCTTGCTTTGTTTCACCATTCTCTTTTGGTCTAATGCGTAAGGTACCCTTGATTTCTATGATCCAGGTTGTCTATTCCTTCCTCTTTTCAATCCACTACTCTACCTAGTTTTCCAGACTGCAAATTGCTCTTAACGCCAGTGTTTCCTAGTCATGTCTCCCTTACGTTAATCCGGTCCTGCTCTTATGTATCTTCCCTATCTCTATAATAATCAGCTCCATTTTCATCCCCTGTCTTTGCTGTCCTCCAACATGCTATTCCTTCTCTAACAGCGTCCTCGCCTCTTTCTTTCTAACCCCCTGTTTAGATCATCGAAGTCGGCTTGGAAGCACCAAGTTACCCATCTACTCTTTGCTTCCGCTCTCAAGTGGAAAACCAGTGGCCCTCCAGAGGTAGAGGGCAAGCGGGAAGCAGGGAAGTGTTGAAATCCAATAGAGGAAAATCAAGGGCGAAACGGTCAAGCTTCTGATTTTGTTTTCCAAACCGGAGTGCGCTGTATAGACGCGAGGCCCTGCCGCATCGTGTGCTTAGGCTCCCACTCCCACCTCCTCGACCCTCCCCATTTGTCATTTCTCATTGTCCTGCTTTTGCCTGGGTGACCTGGTCTGCACGAAAGCTCGCTGAAGCAAAGATCAAAACCAGTTGTGGGGAGAATCGATGACACATATTAACCATCGTGTCATCATGTCCCGGTCCCACGGCTTTTCCCACCTCTCGTCCCTCATTCATCCCATCTGGTTCGATCCCGTTTTGATGCATACCAGACCACAGAGCCCCACGTGGCACTGCGCAAGGATCAGACCAGATCAAGTACATTTAAATGCAGATCCATATTAAGGAAAGCCAGCTCGGCTAAAAGAACCCAACACCAGCAAAGAGCACCATTACCTACAAGTCCCAAGTCAATGAATCCATTCCAACCTCCTGTACATGTACACGCACACGCACACTCACACGCACAAGCCAGAAAGTAACACCATCAACCCAGCCTACCTACCATTCTATAAGTCTACCCATCCCAACCACCCCCCACTCACCCTTTTCCTGACCACATCACTCTCTACACCGCTCCAAACACCAACAGAAGAAAAAAACTCTAAACCTTCGGAACTGGGACCAAGGTTCCCCCCTCCCGGTCTTACATGGTGGCTGTGTGTACGTAAAATCACCCCACCACGACCATCGAACCGAATGACTTTTTCTTGCGAAAAAAAAGGTTTGTTTCATTTCCCACTAACTAGTTTGTCTTGGAGATTTCCCTGCTTTCTTCTTTTATCTAAAAACACTGCACTTGGTTTATCATGTGACTAGCTGGAAATGGAAAGGAAGGGAAAGGGGAAAAAGGGAGATGTGACCAGCGTGAGAATATTTGGGGGGAACCCTACCCGACGTGGTGGGATGGAGGAAGGATGGGTACTGAGTACTAAGGGATCGGCTACGGGTACGTCTATTTGCAGTGTGGTGGTTTATTGCAGCGCTTTCGATCTTGGTGAAGTCTGGACTGGAGCTGGGAGGAGGGAAAGGAAGCCAACTCCGGAGGTCGGGTTGCCTGATTCAAGGGCAAGTTGGTTGTACGGGGGACTGTGAATATAAAGCGGTATGGATACTGAATATTGATCGTCTGTGTGGATGAGTGATGGTGCATGAATCGCTATCTATAGATCTGCTAAGCTAAGTAAGTTAGACGGGAAAATAGGCGCTTCCAATCCAGCCAGAAGATAGATATACTCCGGTTAAAATGCAGATATCTGGCGATCGTTCCCCATCATATAGCCCCGACCACGCGAATTCGAGGACGCCATGCCATAATAATGGCCTCCCTTCCAGTGATGCATGCACGCATGGATTTCCTTCCTCCTCAAGAGATCTCCATGCCATCCTCATCCCCTTCCTCCCCATCATCAATATCACTCATCCTCCTCCCCCTCGCTCGAGCCCTTGACCTCCCATTTCCAACTCCATCCCTGCCCAACCCTCCAACTGCGAAACTACCACCATCAGCACACCAACCCACATTCCCAACCACGGCCTCCAACTCCTCTCCATTCACAACCCGACCCTCCATATCCACCACCTCACAAAGCTCCATCAAACTGCCACGACTCAACCCCCTGAACCCCTCCGTCCTAACCACCCTCCCCCAGTTGGACAGACAAAACCGCGCCGCACGGTGCTTCAACCACTCCTCATTCGTCCGGCCTGCCCTCTCCCACACAATAGCCGCGTGCTCAACATCCAACTCCCTGCTCAAGCGATGCACACACAGCAGTCGTAGTTTCGGCATATCATACAGGTTCGCCATGACGAGCATACCCGCCACATCAGTCAGATCCTGACAGTAGACACTGTGTGGCGCGATGGAGTCGGTGTAGAGGTAGTAGAGAAAAGCTCGAACGACGGAATATGGTTCTGGGATGTGCAGTTTCTGGTTGTGGAATTCGGCCATCTTGGCGGCGTAGAGACGTTTGAAATGCGGCCAGCGGGCCTGGAGGATCATTTTATGGACGTGGATGGGTGGCGAGGTGGATGTGTTCGATGAGAGATAGAGTGGGGCGGAGGCGGTGGATCCGATGGAGAAGCGTGTCTCGGCGGGTTCGGTGGGAGAGTTGAGCGTACTGCTACCGGAGCAGATATCACTATCGTCCGCGTTGGCGGTAATGGTAAAGTCGGTCATGCTGCCGGAGTCGGGCGGTATGTCGAACATGGAGGCCAGGTCGGTGCCGAGACCTTGTGAGATGGAGGTTTCGCGCTCGGAGGCCAGGATGCGTCGTTGTTCCGAGTTTGATTGGTAGACTAGATCGTTGCCGAGAAGTCCGTACTTGCGCAGATCTACAGCAAGAACTTCGCTGAGTTGGGCTTCTTGGCCACTACTGGTACTGGTGTCGATTTGAGAGCCCAGGAGCCAGGCTTTTGTGCCATCTTCATTGATGGTGCAATAATGCCATCTGTATCCCGGTTGAAAGAGCTCGGGGCCTTCAACGAGCTTTTGCCAGCGCAAGGAGTCGAGTTCGAGCGAGGAAAGATTGCATTCCGTCGATCTAATAGTTGCTGCGGGTGTGACAAAGTCGAGAAGGGTACCAGAAGAGTAGACATGGAAATGGGTGCCAGATGATTGAGGCGGAACATGGGGACCAGACAAGAATTTGAGAGATGAAATTGCTCCCGGGGCATTCGGTCTGTCCTTCCTGGATGATCGCACATGAACGCTACCAGAGTTGGCTGTATATGCATTGGTGATTGGATTGAAGTTCGAAGTCGTTCCATTGGAAGGCATCGATCCAGATATGGATCGTCCTAAGCCATTTGGGTCCGAAAATCCGTCCATTGATGGCATGCCGAGAGATGGACTTCCTTTCAAGTCCAGCCACCATATTTCAGTTGACCGCTCCATTTCAGGTCCCAGTCCCCCAAAAATCCATAATCTGCCTCCCCAGATCCAGGCTGAGTGATCGAAGCGACCAGCAAAGCTCCATGTTCGAGACCAAGTCCAGGTTTTAAGATCTAGATAGCAGATGTCGTCCAGAATGTAGTTGGTTTCACCTGTCAACCCACCAATGATGAACAACTTATCCTCGTACACCACCGAAGCGTGTCTCGCTCGGCCCCGCGGGTGCGGTCCTTGAACGTCTGGCTGTGTCCAATACATGGTTTTGAGATCCAGTATCACCACATCCGAGAGGTATTCTCGATGTTCATTCTCGCCGCCATAAACCAGCAACTTGTGTCCTTGGTACAATGATGCTGAGTGGCCCATTCGTACACCTGGAATATCACCATAGTTGTCCACCAGCGACCAGTTCAACGTGTACAAGTCCAGTTTCAGGACATGATTATAGACCTCGTCCGTGAATTGATCAAAGCCACCAAAGGCATAGATCTGATTGTTACCACAGTAGGTAACAGAAGCATTGACAAGACAAGCGGGCTTAGATCCTGTTGCCTTGGACATCTTCGGACGATGACCTTCAGAGCTGTGGCGCCGACTCTTAGCAGGGCTGGCAGGCATGAGGTAGGCGTTTGCTTGTGCAGATGTAGATGATGCAGTTCGAGAAGGGCCGGTAAAGCCGGTCCAGGTGGGTGCAGACGTCTGTGAAGCCGGTAGCAGCGGAGCACTACCAGATGTACTGCCAACGGGAGTCGCGGGCTGAGCCATGGCAGCTGCTGGAAATGGTCAGAGACTGGAAGAGTGAATGCCTTCCAGCATAACAGCCGCAAGACTCGTGTCAGTCAAGCACGTTGTCGAATCCGAAAGACGTTAAAAGGGCTATGGCAATTTCCTTGGTGACATTAGATACATCTTAGATACATCGTAAAGCCATCGGTCTCCTGGGCAAGGCTCCATCGGAGAAGTTAATGGAGGCGGTGCCAAGATTTGCGGCTCGATGACCTAGCTTTTTGAGGTTAGGGTGTCTGGTTGCTGTGCAGCATATGCTTGGCATAGTGTCAACAATCGACCATTCAAAACGCGAATCCAATTATTGTTTCTCTCTACAAAACAACATCTTCTACCTCACACCCCTTACCCTTACCTTCACAGTTACTCCCTACTCTCCATCTCTGTCTAAGCTCAGTTATACAATCCATTAGATCATTTCTGCTTCGGCTTAAATTGATCGACCCACCGATTGCAAGCTTTCTTAGCAGAGACTTCGATTATTCAATCATCTCTGGATCACCAGCGACACAGTACTAACAACGACAAACTATTCTCAGGATTCATTAGATTGACTATCTTGGGATATCACTGATTACGCCGGAATCCCAGCACAGACTTTTCGACAAGATCTGGTTGCTTAATCGATACCATACTAACCCGGAGGTCTTCATTGATCTCTACAGCAGGAACCCGATCGAAACATTGATTTGTCCATTCGATCACTACATTCACTATGGCTGCTCCATCAGTTTCCACGCCGATCAAGAGCCATCATGGTCTCTTCTCATCCAAGACGGCAGGTGGCCGCATGCCCCTCACACCATCACCTAGAACACGAACCACCAGTGTTGCTACCAACCTCTCCACAAACTCGTCTCCATTCACACCTCCTCGCCCAGCTCAATCCATACACCACAGAGAACCTTCAACGCAGTTCTCGAGGTCGGTGTCTCGGTCTGTATCGAAATTTGCATACCAGCAGTCGCCCAAATCCAACATTGCCAAAGGCAAACAATCACCAAGACATCTTGACCTTGGCATCTCGGAATGGACCTTGACTGGCACTGGACCAATTACACAAACGCCATCTAGAGAGCGAGCAAGGAAGGAATCTGTGGTGCGCTCGAGAGCAGGAAAGACAACGGTGCGCATTCCGCACAATGCTGCTGACCGCTTTATACCAAATCGTATGGCGAGTGAAGGTCTTGTCAACGCTGGATCTGCAAAACAGGACGAGAACTCCAGACCAAAGACCAGCAACGGTGAGGGATCGACGGTCCTGGCCAACGCTGCCAGTGCCTTTGACATTGGTGGCCGAGGCGCAGACGGTGATCTGACGGCAACCCTGGAGAACCTGGGACTGGACGATGACAATACCACAACCTCATACCAACGTCCCAATCCCGACTCAGTCGCTTATGAATCTTCCCTGGCATCAGCATGTGGTGTATCTATGAATACCCGCATTCTTGCTTTCAAGCCTCCACCACCAGAGTCATCCAAGCCAATTGACCTTCGATCTCAATACAATCGCCCTCTCAAGCCTGCAAATGCACAATCGGCACAGTTCAGACGTCGCATTCAGACTGCCCCCGAACGCGTGCTCGATGCTCCGGGACTAGTCGACGACTACTATCTCAATCTGCTTGATTGGAGCTCCGGGAATCAGGTCGCGATTGGTCTCGAACGCAACGTGTACGTCTGGTCAGCAGAGTCGGGAACTGTCAGCTCGCTCCTAGAAACGTCTCCAGATACCTACGTCAGCAGTGTCAAGTGGAGCGGAGATGGTGCTTATGTCGGCGTTGGACTTGGTTCGGGAGAGGTACAAATCTGGGATGTGGAAGAAGGCACCAAGCTACGAAGCATGTTCGGCCATGATGCTCGCGTGGGCGTTATGGGATGGTCCAAGCATACCTTGTCAACTGGAGCTCGAAGCGGCCTCGTTTTCAACCATGATGTGCGTGTTGCTCAACACAAAGTGGCAGAACTCGTCTCACATACTTCAGAGGTCTGTGGGCTGGAATGGCGCTCAGACGGAGCACAGCTAGCAACCGGAGGCAATGACAACCTTGTCTCGATCTGGGACGCACGATCCCTCAATGCCCCGAAATTCAAAAAGACCAATCATCGGGCGGCGGTCAAGGCTCTCAGCTGGTGCCCTTGGCAGCTCAATCTCCTGTCAACCGGAGGCGGATCCTATGACAAGCACATTCACTTCTGGAATACCACCACGGGGGCTCGAGTCAACAGCATCGACACTGGCTCGCAAGTAACAAGCCTCAAATTCAGCAATCACTATCGTGAGCTTGTGAGCTCCAGCGGCTTCCCAGACAATTCCCTGAGCATTTGGAGTTATCCTACACTTGTCCGCAACGTTGAGATCCCTGCACACGAAACTCGTGTCCTTCACAGCTGTCTAAGCCCAGACGGCCAGATGCTGGCTACCGCTGGTAAGTCAACATTCCTTCTACCTCGACTTGATCAAAGGCTAACTAAAAGTCATAGCGGCGGACGAGAGTCTCAAATTCTGGAAGGTGTTCGAACGCAAAGCGGGCACAAGTGCCTCAGCATCTCGAGAAGGAGGAGTCGGAAGCAAGACCAGTCAAATGGCCAAGCAGATGACTATTCGATAATGTGCTACGTGAGCACAGTTTTGATTTGGTGTGAGCATGGCGATGGGCGTTGGCTTCAAGCCCACATCAAGGGCGTTTATTGTTTATTGACATCGGGATGAACTCCATGATGTGTTGCTTGTTTGTGTTTGGGTATGAGGCGTACAATCATCCTCACTGGCATGTCTGGAGTAACACCAATACATCCTACATGAATACTATAACTTTGTCCCCATGTGAGGTGATGGTCAAATTGAGGCTCCTTGCTTGGGCCATCGGGCTGTAAGACTAGGCGGCACCGGGCACGCTAAGCACACCAGGTATACCCATTCTTGCCTACATCGTGAAACTTGCCCTCTTCACACTACCTAATAATCCTACAAAACTTGCCCTTACATCAGTGCCTTTGCGGAGACGGCAACATCAGGTGGAGTACGCAGATACGGTGGAGAATTCTGACTGCTCGACAACTTTGCACATGCTGGTTTAGGACTCGTGTGCGCACAGTCAGTCGTCTTCACTTCTCCTCCGTCGCCTGCCCACCCGCCCGCTATCACAACCTGTAACATCTACCACTCCCAAGAATCAGATCACAACAAACCGCTCCAAACCCCTTTCCCAATTGCTGCGCCTTTGCAGCAACTTCATATCGAAATGTCCCAGCAGCAAGTGGTGAGCTATCCGTCATTCACATTCGAGAGCGCAGGCCGCCTGGCTTCGTCACACATTCACCTGCTTGTCACTTGGTCATTCAAGTCCCTGTTCGGTTCGATGTAGGCGGAAGAGTGGCTGACTTTGGCTGTAGGGCCAAGTCTACAGCAAAATCATTGACGAAGTCTGCGATGCTTCACAAATCGATTTCGAAGAAGGGGGTGTAGACTCGGAGACACTCAAGCTGTTGAAGCATGTAAGAAGCCTCCCATTCTCGCCTTTGTCATGTGAAGAAATACTGCTTAAATATCAAATATTCTGGCTCATCGCTGGGGTGGTTGAGATGTTTTCTTGCCTCGATGCAATTTCAAATCCTGTCGGTGAAGATGGCGTTTATGACCTTCAGCCAAATTTTGGTGGGGCGGGCAGTGACTGTTCTTGGGGGGATGAGCGCCGCTCATATGAGTCATTTTTATACCTTCTCCAGGAAAATTATTGGCGCCTGGATTTGGGGCTGGACTGCGCCCCACCGTTGCCGACGAGCTATTTCGTCATCACGTTATCATTCTTGGTTTTGAGTCAGTGGGAGTCGTACTAATATTGCACTATTAACAGCGCTGGCAAAAAAAGTTATCCGCCCTTGAAGTCGGTCACTTCCCATGGGAGCCTCAGCCACAGAATTCTAGTACCAATGTCGGCTCTTCAGCAGCAGCATCAACCCCCCAGTCGACCCCAAACGTCTCGTCCAACACAACTAAAGTTCAACAACTCGCTTCCGAGAATGCACGTCCTTCTCCTATGCCGCCGTCCAATCAAGGGCCTCGGGTTAAGGCAGAACCAGGACAGTATCAGTCAACAAGCTCTCCTCTGATGGGCTATCCCATGTCTCAGATGCCGCAACTCCCCCCAGCACCAGTGAACACTGTCGCGCAAGAACGAGCAGCGCAAGCATTGCAGCAGCGATATGGTCCTCAAGCAGCGGTACAGATCAATCAGCTTCAGCAATCTATTAGTCAACGACAGCAACCGGGTCTGCCCAACTCCCAAGGCCAAGATGGTGACGATCGCAAGCAAGCTCTCCCAAATTTTTCCACGCCAACACCTCAGTCTCGTACCCCACTACAATCAGCGCAGCATGACGGTAGCAACGACTCGCTCGCTAAGTGGAAAGCCGAGGTTGCACGCCGACGTACCCTGATGGAGGCACCGGCTCGAGGTGAACGTCTGTTCCATGAGCACATGCTACAAAGACAACAGCAGATTGAAGGCGGCGGTTTGATGATTCCTCTAAATGAGCGTCACATGCCATCAGCCGGCACCAAGCGTCGGGTGGAGGCTCTTTTGGGGACATACGAAGAGCAGTATCCACAGAGAGCAGCTCCGCAGCTATCAACCTCACTTCCTAAAGCTCAAGGTGATGCCGCAGGCGACCATGATGACGACGAGAAAGAGCTTGATGAAGACGCCATCAATTCTGACCTAGATGATCCTGAAGATGCTGGGGGTGATCCTGAAGACGAAACTGTTGAGCAAGTCATGCTGTGCACATACGACAAGGTGCAGCGAGTCAAGAACAAGTGGAAGTGTACCTTGAAGGATGGTATCTTGAGAGTATCGAATAAGGAGTAGGTCGAACACGAGAGTATGTCTATGGGTGACTAACAAGTATTAGATATGTCTTTCACAAGGGTCAGGGCGAATTTGAGTGGTAGATTCACCATGGATCCGCCAAGACCAACCGTCATGGCTGTACAGCCGGCGTTCATTAGTAAGTACCTCAAGTGCGCAAGTGTCTGACCTGATTTTCTTTACAAGTCATACGACTCTGCTCCATGGGGCACTCTGAATAATGGCGGGGTGAATGCAGGATATGCTGGTGGCCCAGACACATTTGCGTAGGCTGTGTAATCCAGCATGGGAGATCTTCTGACCCGAAGCATGGCGCAGGTGTTCTGATGGCCTATTCAGGTTCTCGGAGGGAGCGAGCGTATTTGTTGTGTGTTCGACAAGCAGCGATTGCGGACTGGTGTACTTGCAGAGAGAAAGAACCCTTAGGGATACAGAACAAGAAGAAGCAAATTCATGATTGCATAATCTGTAAGCGTCCACATGAACTACTTAAGTCTCCACCAGCCAGGCTGTGGCAGCTAAAGATTGCCTTGGCCCTTCGCTCAATATTTTCCTTGGTTGGCTCCATACAGGTAGATCGATGTTCAGGTCACAGTGCGTGTTTTGACCCAGGTCGGTTCTTAGAGGCTTCCTTCCGGGATGCTTCTGTCTTTCCTATTGATTAGTGGAGGTTGATAAGCCAGGTAGGAAGCCTGATGACACGTACCAAGTAATGTAAGATACTTCACTACTTCTAGACACGTGCGGAATGTCCCTGTTATTTTGTCATCTATTTCCTATGTCCACACCTGCTTGGCACCCCAAAGTTGTTCTGCTTCATTGACCTTTTCCACCGTTCATCTATACTTAGTTGTAAGAGTTGCGTCCTGTACAAATCTCACTCCAATCATGAGGACTAGAGATACGCTCCAGAATGCTAAAAAACTCTTGCAAACCGTACCAGAAACAGAAACAGCGTCCATCATCAAACGGGAAGAATGCACCGTCTGCAATCCCCCCCAAACCATGGTATCAATCCTGGCATGCATATCGTGTGCTCAAAAGTTCTTTGTCCAGAACTCATAGCAAGCTGTTTCAAAGCACAAATCAGGTAAGGCCTGGATACGTATATCCTACCAACAGCAGCAAGTTGGCGGCATGTCCAATCACCGCCAGACGGTGAGGCAAGCTGGTGGCATGGCATCACCAGGGTGAATGCTTGCGCGCCTGGTTCAGTGAAGGTAGGCAGGCAGGCTTAAGGTAAGTCACGCAGATGCTTGTGAAGCAAGCAAAGCCTGCAGGAATGGTGTTTCTACCTTTTCTTAATTACCATTTTCTATTTGTGTTTATTATGGAGTTGATCCTGAGGCTGATGTCTAGCTAATTGCTTGTGTTGCAATATATCTCGCTGCTAGCGATTATAAATATACCCATGCTTTTCCATTTGTTGAATTTGGTAGACATTTGCAGCATCTGTCTTCGTTCTATAAATTCAATTTGGTTTCCCATTCTTGAATCTATCAGGAAATCTAGCATCTTCACCACCAGAAGAGAACCATCAATATGTCTCCACTGCCCCCACCAAAGACTGGAGGACGTCCGGGAACGCTATTCCCATGGGCTGGAAACATTTCCCACTGGCTTGATCCTGGGACTGTGAGTCAAGCCTTACGGGGATGCTGTGCAAGCTGAAAGCAGGAGCACTAACTCATAATAGGAAATTCCGAATCTGGAAGACGAGAAGATCAAATCGTCAAAATGGGTAGAAGATTTTGCAGAGCGTCTGAAACGCCTGCGAGATGACGACGCAAGAACCTTTGCAGACGACGGAGCTGTGCAATACAGCGAGCGAGCTCTAAACGTCCAGGTGAAGGATCTCCATGTCTGCGGCTTGGCTATGAGAAGATACAAGTACAAGAGTATCGACTGTTTTGCAGAAAACCCCTACAAGTGCTCTGCCCAGGCACAACGTTATGACAGTTTGACAAGCAAAGGCACTGACAAGACTCCCCGCAAGGAGCTAGTCCAGTGGATGATGGCAAAGATTTTACTGAAGCACAACAGAAAGCTCGGCGGTCGTGTGAAGAACTTGATGAAGACGGCATATGTCAAGGCCTCGAAACAGCTCCGGGAGTCCAGGTCGAGCTGGCCTGCCATGGAGAAGGAGCTTCAGGAGGATGCTGAGAACAAAGATCTTCAGAAATGGTGGGCTCTGACCAAAGCCAAGAACATTAACCAGTTCAAGGATCATTACAGCCAGTGTGACAGGGACAGTGCCGCCGCTGCCGACTCAACCATTCTTGAGATGGTTGCTGACCAGGATCTTGTTCTCGTGCTCGACAAGAATAACGAGCTCATCGCGTTCTGCGCATCCAAGGCAGTACAGAAACTCTTCTCCGAAAAGGTGCTGGAATATATTTATACATGTTTCGACATCTACACCTACCACCAAGCCATTCCAACACCTGATCCAACACGCCATCCTTTGCAGGCGGAGTTTCTTCGTGAGAATCCCAAGTACGATTGCAGGGCGGCCGAGGACAGAGATCTGGCGAAGTGCGGTGTCGAGCACTATGGTTGCCGTGAAATGATTGGTGACCCTCATGGAAAGCACATATATCCGACCAAAGGTAATTCCATAAGATATTGGCGCTCCGACATGATTACCACACAAATATATCCAAAGCTCCAACGCGGACCTTGGCGGGTGCTGACGGAAGTGGCGTCCTTCTTCTTCAAACCACTCATGCCAGCTTTGTACCATGATTACGTCGATGTCTGTCAAGGCGTAGACAAGGATGCTCGCATGGATACTATGGCAGAAGGGAGCCATTCACGCTACGCGCATTGCTGGTCAACTTGAGCACTGAGGACCACACCGATTCCAAAGATTGCCGATATGGAATTGCTGCTTTGACGCCATTTGGCAATTTTGAAGGTACCTTGCAACTGAATGTACGTGATCCAATCTAGTCCAAGCTGATCGATAGTGTAGGAGCTGACCTTGTCCTCCGCCAACTCGGCCTTCAAATTTCTTATCCAGCAGGCTCCGTCGTTCTGATCCGTGGCCATGAGCTCGCTCACTCTACTACTCAATGGACCAAAGAATCGAGGTTTGTTGGTGTTCAGACGTCTCACGAAGCTACCAGAGAACATGCGTATCGCAAGTTGGGTCGACCATACCCACCATTAGCCCTTGCCCCTAATTTCTATCCCAAAACCGCGAAGATTGGGAAAGTGGACGTGGTGGAGAAGGCGAGTATGCCTTCGGTGTCTCACAACCCAAGTCCAGGCAGCGCCAACGTGTTTGCCGGGAGCACTATCTCCTCAAAGCCTGGTTGTCCAGATTCCGAGGACAACGAAGACGGGGAGGTTCAGCAGGACGCCGTAAAGACTTTGTTGGATGATAACGGCGATGACGATGGAACCCGCAGCCACTACAGCTCAGATACTGACATCAGCTGTCGAGACTGTAAGGCACAAGAAGATTACCCGGATATGGAGGTCTTCGATATGGATGATCGGGACTACATGACCTTCGCCTATGAAGAGGACCCCACAGGGCCCCGGTACTACAAGCTGGCGTCGCACAAGCGAAAGCGCTCAGAGAGCAGCAGCGAGGACGAAGAAGACACGAGCAGCGACGAGTAAGAAGACACGAGCAGCGACGAGTAAGAAGACACGAGCAGCGACGAGTAAGAAGACACGAGCAGCGACGAGTAAGAAGACACGAGCAGCGACGAGTAAGAAGACACGAGCAGCGACGAGTAAGAAGACACGAGCAGCGACGAGTAAGAAGACACGAGCAGCGACGAGTAAGAAGACACGAGCAGCGACGAGTAAGAAGACACGAGCAGCGACGAGTAAGAAGACACGAGCAGCGACGAGTAAGAAGACACGAGCAGCGACGAGTAAGAAGACACGAGCAGCGACGAGTAAGAAGACACGAGCAGCGACGAGTAAGAAGACACGAGCAGCGACGAGTAAGAAGACACGAGCAGCGACGAGTAAGAAGACACGAGCAGCGACGAGTAAGAAGACACGAGCAGCGACGAGTAAGAAGACACGAGCAGCGACGAGTAAGAAGACACGAGCAGCGACGAGTAGATGGAAGGGGGGAAAACTTTTGGTCAATGAAGCCAGACTTCTTTTTTTTCCTCATCTTTTCTGGGCACGCCGTGATATGGAGAATTTCCATCAAGTTTTCGTGTCTTTCTTCTTTTTCCTATTCTTGCACGGGCTTCCTGCCAGGTCCAGTGCAAAGAGCCATAGTTAAAACGAGTTCTCCGTCAATTATAGCCTTCCCATCCCTTTTCCTGCCATTTCGGCCCATGCAATCTTCCCCCCCCCCTCCCATCGATCCCGACTCTCAGTATCCCCCAATTCAACTTCCCTAGTACCTAGTCGCTGATCAGACAAGGCAAGGCAAGACAAGACAAGACCAGCTCCCGCACCACCCTGCCCCTCCACCCGTAGAATCCGTGAGGTAGATCACTCGCACAACGCCCCTTAAACGGGTAGTAAGTCACACCCACTACCGCCCCACTCCTAGTAGTACTTATGTCCAGTCAGCACGATGCGCGGCATGCCCGCCCGCCCACACTCTGGGTTCTGGCGAGGGGCCGCGTAGAAGCCTGCCTAATTCGGCGATACAGTATTTAATGCACACGAAGACACGAGCAGCGAAAGCCTGACATGCTGATCGCGAGCCCTACCGGCTCAAAATCCGTCATGATACGGAGACGGAGTACACGATATTATCATTAAGTTAAGGTAGATTAGATACAATAACGTGGGGGGCATTCTTCTCTCCAAGCTCGGGTCCAGAGGAGCGAGCGACACGCATTATTATTCTTTGCGCATCCAGCCGTGGTGGGAAGACTAAAAGTAGTCATCATCAGCTTCAGCATCAGCATCAGACGGTACAGCAGGAATAAATTGGGCTCGTAGTCGTCTCTTCTTATGTTTCGTAGATATTTCTTTCAGGTCATACGGGTTTTCTACCGCAAACGCGCATCATCATCATCATCATCACTATCTCGTTGGGGGGAAGACAAAAAAAATCACACCAGCACCATGCTCGCACAGCTCGATTCATCGAATCCTTCTCCCTGCATGATGCCATGCACATACGCATCCGCGACGAGTCGGTACCTGACCATTCCTTGCGCAGCCGCACTCGTACTCGTACTCGACGAACCGGCTTCCATCTCAACCGGCCTCAGCACCAACGGCACCCGACTGCCGCGACAGAGCACGACGCGATCGCCGACCTGCGCTGCGTTGCCGGCCAGCCCGAGGTAGCCGCGCTCGGTCCGGATCAAGCGCCGGTACAGCGTGTTCCGCTTCTGCAGCTCGAACTTCAGCAGCGGCCGGTCGGTCGCGCCGTACCACACGAGCAAGGCGATCCAGTACGGCATCAGGACGATGGTGTCGAGGTGCAGTTTGCGGAGGAGGGGGGACTGGCGGTTGACTCGGTGCCAGAGGTGGAGCTCGCTGCGGATGGCAGGGGAGTGGTCGTATTCCGAGGTGGAGATGGTGCGGTAGAAGGCGGTGAGGATGGGTTCGGTGCTGGTGGGTTTGGTGTTTTTGTGGTGCTGGTGGTTGTGGTGATGATGGTTGTCGGGGGTATAGAATGTCTGGGAGCGAGCGTCGGCGATCTCTTCCCAGGCAAGAAGGACGTCCCGGGTGTGGTAGAAGGTATGGAGGGTGCGTAGCCAGCTTAGCACGATGTCACGGAGGGTGGTGACGGTGGAGGGCACTTGGACACCGTTGAAGACGGGGCCGGTGGCAGCGATGGTGTCAAAGGTGTAACCGGAGACGGTCAGGGAATTGGGGCATGGTGGGGGCGAAGGCGTGTATGTCGAGTCCTTGGCTGCCGTGAATGGTGGTTTGGAAGGATCGTGGGAGTACATATCTCTGCTGGCGAGGGAGAGGGGCCGAATTCCCCACTCGTGAGCCATGTCCTCGCTGGTGCGGCGGCTCCAGTCCGGTATCCAAGATGGAAGGTTTGACGTGCTTGATGAGGTGGTTGGGGGTGATGGAGAGTGACTTAGGATGTCTAAATTCCGGTCGTGCTGGAGGATTTTGGTGGCCACGTCACGATATACCGACTCGACGGGGTCTTCATAGCGGATTCGCACATCAATGAATTCCGAAGGCGACGTGCCCATCAGTGGACAGAAGGCGTACACTTTGTCACGGGGGTTCGTGCTCAGGCATCGCTGATGGCGGAGAAGAAGTCCGAGAAGGGTGTTTGCTCCTTGTTTGTAACGGGCCATCTCCTCTTCAATCCCGGCTATATGCTGAAGTGTCGGCATGAAAACGAGAGGGAATCTCGCCTTGGACATGAACTCGAGTGCCCGGGTTACCTCTTTCCATTCGCATTGTTTGGAGCCCCAGACAAAGGTGACTTTCTTGGACACGACCACTTCTTGTACCACCCACGCTCTACGAAACCATGATTTTCTCAGAAAGCTCACGAGTAGCAGATACAATCCGACCGAGAATGGAGCGAGATCAATCGTCGTTCCTTTTCGGACATCTCTAACTCGTACGTAGGGGGCACTAGACTTCTTCATTCTCGGTCTGAGCGTTACCAGTCCGCCGAGAATAGCCAATCTCGCCGGCCATGACACCGAGATGTGGGAATTGCCATCTCCGGCGGTCTCGCCGAGCCATATCAGGACACCCTGGGCCTGGGAGTAGATCCTGCGCATGAGCTGCACCTGGTTGCCCTTTTCTGCGTCATCGTCCTGTTGGATGCAGATTGCATCCGCCCAGAGCAGGCGGGGCTTGTCACGATATCGCAGCGCACGAAGGGCTCCAGCAAGAGATCTTCGTATTGATAGAGCTCTCCCATTGCAGACGATGGTCGTCTGGGCGTCATCCCAGCGATATGAGATTGTTTCATATGGGACGTTGCTCAGGAGATGGGACTCTATCAGGGTACAGTGGATTTCTTCAGAGTCCTGGCCAGGATGAAGCTCAAGGAGGCGGAAGGCTGGGTTGCTGCTGTTCTCTGGATCTGTGATCGGGAGAGGATCATAGCAAAAGGCTGGTAGATAGTTAGGGAAATCTGCATGCCTGTAGGCGGTATACTGTGGCTTCTGCCGTGAACTTAACACGGAATCAAGGAGTGGACAGAATAAAATTGTCTGTGATGGGTTTCGGAGTCTTGTGAACTTGGACACAACACTTGAACGCCTAGAGATGTAAGATGCTGTCCGCCTTCCTGAGGTCCAAAGCTCACGCCAGGGCATTTAACTCGATTCACGCGTTATTCGCCCATGGTCAATGTCCTTGTCCGCGGCACAAGAATCTACATCGTCAATACCCACCTCAAGTGTTCTTCTTATAGACAGCTGAATGCAAAGCACCATCGAGTCAAGTTCAGCTCGGATCGGATTTCCTCGACTTGGCAAAATTCGCAAATTTTCTTTGCCAGATAGAACGTCGTTAGCTGCTCTATCCTTCAGCTACTCTCTAGTTAGTTTTTATGAATATCTATCCAAATCTTTTTGATCATTAAGTGTTCTTTTCATGCACTACAGAAAAATTTTACTTAAAACCCAATTGCGCAATAGGCCTTGCCCTCTGAAACTACCTCTAAGAAATTCCGTTCCAAGCGAACTCTCTTTCTTCAAGCAAAGATCCAGTGGTTTCTCGGCGATGCTCGAGACCGACCCTACTAGACAGCAAAAACAATGACTGCATGGCAGAACCGAGAATGGTGGATGGTGGATGCAATGTGACTGGCTGTCCCTCACGTTGTGCGACGTTATAGGCTGGATGACAAGAGAGCAATGAGAATAGAACCCACCCATGCGTACAGCATTCCTCTTGCCAGTGTGAAATATGTCGTCGCGGTTACACGTGATATGCGAACATGGAAGAGAAGACCACTGATGATAATGATAATTAAGTCGCATCTCTGACAATAACTTGCGGCAGGCTCTCACAGCGATAAAAAGCCCGCCGATAACTTACCAGTTTTGGTGGCAGCCCCAACGGGTTACGGTCCTGCCAATCTAGTGGATTACCTGATCGGGCAGATGGTTTGGAGTTAGGTTACTTAGCTAGGGAGGATTGAAGGAGACCTGGGGTTGCAATGGAAAAGAAGACGAAGAATGATGGTAGAAGTGTCGGAGCAGGGGATAAGCACAAGTACGTGAATTATGGTCGTGCTCGGGTTCCGTCTCTCCGAGACTGTGCAAATTGGACATGGGAGCCTCTTTCTGTATAGTAATCTGGTGGGGATACAGATTGACGTTGGACGTATCATCGAAACGATAAGAGACCATGGTCCGCCAAGAATGATGTAAATTGGATTCACGTGACCAACTACCTTGTGCAACACACCCCCATTTGCAACAGTTTTAGGGCATTCGGGCTGGTATCTCCATGCCTACCAACCCTCCAAGCCACCAATTTCAGCTCTCCGCCATTTTATCAACCCAATTGCAATCAGCACCGAGAGGAGTCGGATGGACGGTATCAAGAAGTAATGTTTGTCTACATGGTTGTTTGTTTGAATTATCAATCAATTTTATCTCCAAGATAGGGTCAGCAACCTTGAAATGTATTACTAGTATGAGACCTAAAACGCCAAGTTAATCCTGTTGCAAAGGGGTGTGTGTTGCACAAGTCAGTTTGCCACATTATGCCAGTGGGATATTCAAAAGTTATTATTCATCGCTTCTCGCACTCGATCTAGCTGAACGCGAAGAATACTTTACTACGTAGTTAGAGCCAAGAACGATAGCATCGCTCAGTTCCACCCCCTGTCTCTCCAAAGCGAGTCCAAAATCCGAGGGCCATTCAAGATTCAATCTTCGAAACCGCAACCCACCTATCCATTCTTGGGCACAATCTTCTCTTCCGGCGTCTCAGCCCTATTCGACTTCTCCTCCACCAACCCCTCGCCCGCCCGCTTCGCTTCAACCTCACTCACCTCGCCCATTCTCCCAACAAGCGTTGGTCTATACTTCCCTCTAACATCCAAAATCATACTCTTAACCGTATGCGCCATCGTCTTTCTGCCCTGCCACAGCGGAAAAATGCCCACACAAGCAGTACTGCAAAACAGCCACAGAATTCCCACCGTGACCCATCCGGTAAAGAAGCGCTTGCTGAAGATATATCCACTCCCATACAGGGGCATAGGCCAGATGACAAGCAGGATCAGCGTCATGGTTACGGTCGTTGCGCGGGCAATAATGGCGGATTTGTTGAGCTTGCGTTGATCGGCCGCTGCGGCGGCCTGTCGTTGCCGGATTTGTGGTGGCCGGGAATGAGTTCGAGATCGACGTGCGCGGATTTGGCAATGTCGGAGTCGTCGCCAATGCGGATCTGGGTCATGGACACCCAGTCATAGTTTTGGCGGCCAAAAGCGAAGGTTAGAATTGGCACGAAGACAATTGGGGAGAGAAGGGCGGCCACGTTTCCAGCTAGCATGGGATAGTTGCCTCCGGTGCAATCAACCGTCAACTCGCCGCAGGTTCTCTTCGCAGTCACGAGCCAGGCGGTAAGGGAGACGACGAGACCAAGGATGGGCGAGAAGGCTGCTGCGATCCAGTTTTGATCTTTCCATAATAGGGTGAGGGAGGCGGGAAGCACAGCCGCGGAGATTATCACGCCCATGAACAGATAGAGCCAGCCCATGCTGATGCCAGCGTAGAACAGCCCGGTACTAAAGGCCGCCATACCGATCGAGTAAAATATGCAAGACATATGGCTATGGAATATCAGGCGGCGCCCAGAAGACTAAGACGTGATGTCAGCGGCTAGATCCAGCCGGGCTGGCAACCGAGATCAGGACTCACCGTGGGGTTGATGTATTTCTGGTAAATGTCATAAGTCCAGATGGACGAGACAGCGATCAGTTCAGCAGATGTGGCAGATGTCACAGCCATGAAGATCAGAAGCAGTGTTGCTCCCGCACCCCCTTTGCCAAGCATGGCAACTGCCGCGTTAGGTAAGACCAACCCGGCAGTCACATCTGCATGAGGCATTCGGTTCGGATAGGTCGGAAACACCGGGTTGCCTTCCAGAGCTAGAGCGGCGAGACCCATTGTAGTGGCACAGAGCCAGGGGATTGCAAACCACGAAAGCCTATGGGAGATATTAGTGTCTGGGATGAACGAGGGATGCTGAAATCCTACCCTCCCATGACATATCCTGGTAGAGCATGGACCACGCCGGCAGCGATAGCCTTGTTGTAGTAACCTAATATATTGCAAATTTAGTCTATCGTTCGCGTCACAAGTATCAAGATTTGGTTCGGGGCGATCAGAGTGAATAAAGTTTCGAACAACTCACCATTATCAAGAAATACCGTACCAAAGTTGCCCACTATGTTTATGACGAAGAAGATGGCCCCTTCTTTGCTACGCATGGTAAGGTAGCTGCCACCGGCATTGTCAGCCACTGGGTGGTCTCTAGCTGCTTGCATGAGCAGATCGTAGACTTTGCTTGGTGAGCCAAGGTCATTGTTGGTGGCGTAAGCTGAGAAGGCGAAGACGAAGATGATGATTAGAATGATAACCTGCAACATCGATTAGAAACTCCAATTTTCTTATACAGAGAGGAATATGTCGTGCCGTATGGACATAGTCTGTGAGAAACGTCGCTTTGATACCTGGAGAGTCCATGTCAGATCGTGCAGACGACATATGGTGAGTAAGGGGAAGTGAGAGGGCGTATCCAGGAAATGAATGGTGGGAATTGGATGCAAACACTTACCTCCAAACATTGTATACAGTACGACGCCGACCGGAAGCAGAAAACAAGCTGCAGCGGTTGGCACCCCGGTCAGGGAGGAAGCAACAGCAGACCCTCCAGTGAGCAACATAGCAGTCACAAGAATATTGGTCATCAGACCGAAAATGATATAAACAAAATGAGTTGCTTTGCCGTATCGAGCATGTACCACTTCGAGGAAGGTATGCGCGTTGGGAGCTCGACGTTTGAGTTCAATTGCGAGTGTAGCGAACAGTAAAATCTGCACCGTTGCACCGCTGGCGTACCTGCCATACTGGTTAGGCGACAGAGGCTGTGCCGGTGGGCAGACTCTCTTACCAGAAAGGACCACTATTGCACTTTAATCAGCAGGCTCCACGCTCTAAGGGCAGTGCTGAGTTACCTACCTGACACCATAGTTATATGCCACTCCACTCGACTGCAACAACGTAGCGGCCCACGTCCAACTACTCACAACGGCTGATGATACAAGGCCGGACTTGACTGTTCTGCCAGCTGTACTGAACGCTTCTGAGGTTTGCACCTGGGGCAGATTGATTAGATGATTTTCCGTGGTCCGAAAGAGTGGAAGTTGCTACCTCATTGTGATACCTGGTTGCAAGTTAGTAAGGATTCCTCGATTCGAAGATGCTCCTCGAATCCTTTCGAGCCTGGAGAAGCAGCAATGGTCCCAAGATATCTTAGAGAAATACTGTCCGAGCCCACAATAATCCTCTTCCACACCAAAAGACCCCAATGATAATAGAAGCGGCAACCATACGGGATGGAGTATGAGAGAAGGAAACACCAAGACTCGTGCAGAAATAGCTTACCTCTTTAGAGCCCATGTCGTTCCTATCATGCCTAGGGCAAATGCAAAGCCTAGCCCCAGGATAATGCCATATCCAAACCCCTGACTCAACGGAGGAGCTGCTGCCTCAGTTGCCGTTGCCATGGTTACTCGATGCAAGGTCTTACTGGAGCTTTGGGCTTGCTACCAGTGTGGCCCAAAAGGTAGGAGATTCGAGTTGCCAGATTAGATGTGTATGAACGACGTGCAAGAGGTAGGGATGAGGAACTGTGTAACGTAGGAAAAGAGGAAAACATTCGAGTTTCAGAAGAAGTACTCCGTACTTAGCATATAAGATGGATCTATCTCGGTTGTCAAACAATGGAATCAGCCGTTTCCTAGCAAGGGGAGCTCCCACGCCTAGTCTAGGGCTGCACTGATAAGAAGATATGCACATGGCAAGCCGGTCTCGGAGTCCAATCACGACTTGAATCGTCAATTCAGTTGCATGATGTTCCTGGAATAATCTAGATCGTCTCGGCATGTTAAGATGCATCCTCTAATTTTTACCGATTGTGGTTGTTGTGCCATTTGTGGTAGGTTGGAGTAGTGCATGTGTATCTACGCCTCAATGTGTGGGGATGAATCTGATTGGAGCGCATCGTTCGTTATCAGTCAATTTCCACTGTTTCACGTTTTGATTCGTATTCATCACAGACAGGTTATCGTGGAAGCTTGTTGATATGTGAACACGAGATTGAGCGTTATGGTGGAGGAGATGGAGAGAAGGAGAGAAGGAGAGAAGGAGAGAAGGAGAGAAGGAGAGAAGGAGAGAAGGAGAGAAGGAGAGAAGGAGAGAAGGAGAGAAGGAGAGAACGAGATTGAGCGTTATGGTGGAGGAGATGGAGAGAAGGAGAGAAGGAGAGAAGAAGGGAAGAAGGGAAGAATCGAAGAAATCAGCAATTCTTGCACCCAGGCCATCACGACCGTCAACAACTATAATTGATACTCCTAGTATAATAAATTATCGCTGCTAATAGTGATGTTTTGGTGAAGCCGACTCAACGAATGTGATGAAGCCAAATATGCCATTGTGCGCCCTTCAGCTTCTTCCTGGCTTAAAGCATCGAGAACATGTCACCTCAATCTGGTGGTATTATCCGGGTGGTCGAGGATACCTGTTGATTCCAGAAAGCCCACAGGCGCATCCTGAGCGGCATAATTGCCACCTTGGTTCAAGACCGACCCGAACGCCGTGCGCCTACGTGTCAGCAGTTGCGAAACCCCAAAATGACACCTGTGCCGGTGTGCGATTTGTACAAGAAGCAACCCAGCACCCTTTCAGCTCCTAATCTTGGAACCGATCACTTATAATGCGCCTGCTGCTGTGGGGGGCCGCCGTATCCTCCATTGATGGCGCCTTGCTGGAACGCTTGTCCATGCGTTCCTTGCCCGGATGTGATGTCGGGTCGCTGGCTAAAGAACGGAAGTGTCAATAGAAAGTGCAACAGACGAAACGCAGATTCGTACCCCAAGTCTTGTGTGACGCGACAGATAGGACAGTAGACATCTTTGTGCCAGCCTGCAGAAAACGGTATCACAGGCTATGGTCGTGTCAGTGGCAAATAAGAGATGTAGGCTTTCAGAACGTACAATCCAGCAAACAGTGAACCATGTCCTATGAGGTCCCGTCAGTACTGTCAAGCAGAACTGGGGCTTTACCGCTTACCAGCTCTTTTGACAAAACGCTCGCACATTGCCGCAGTTGTTACACCGAAATTGTTGCCCTCTGTATTCTTCCATTTGCTTGGTAAAAGGATGCGTTCCCATGATAATGCAGAACGCCATCTTGTGGTGGTTGTTGGCTTTCGCTAGGATTGAACTTGGGCGTCAAGACTTTAGAGTACCTTGTGCTGAATGGAATAGCTTCAGGATCGATAGGTCGCTTTTCAACAGATGCGAGTAGGAATTAGTGGTCAATGATGATAAAGAATCAGACGTTGGAGGCCTGACTATTCAAGTATGTAGAGAGACTGCAAGGTGAAGGCGTTGTTGTGACGCGCTTCGATGTGGCTGAGTATCGCCAAAAAGGCTTGGCAACAATCCATACGTAGTACTTATTCCTCATAGCAAGCGCTCAGAACGGGAGATGTAAAAAACCACTTCTATCCTACCAACCACTTCCTATGCAGCACTATGTCCAATATTACTGTTTTCATGAATATTCTTTTACATCTTGGTAGTCGCTTGCAGTTTTCCCCAAACTCTCGCGGCAAATTCAAAGTGCTACAAGAATGTGATACAGCAGGAAAAGAACCATCCACGTGTCCAGTGGTTTACTCCACTGTGCCCCTGACCGGCGCCCTTTAGCCAACCCGCTGTGCCTTCGTGCGCTGTGCGTGAAGATGGTCTGCATCGTCTCATCGACCACCCGAGAACTCTGATCTGCCTCTGGGAAACAGTTACTGCGTCTTGAAGAGCAGAATTGCACAGTGACCCAGGTAGAAGTAGATAAAGTGTTTTGTTTCTAGGTGGGCTATTAGCATGGGGCTTCTTGTGAAGTGGATTGATAGCCTTCGTACCGTGTGTCACAAAGCTGCCAAAGTTTCTTCCCACTATACAATGCCACGTAGCTCCTTTCCGCTCGTCGAACTGGGAGAAGTGGTTAGGCCCATCGACGTAGGGGCGATCAGGATATCCAGACTTTTTGCTTAATGCGTTGTGCTATCTCCTAGAGACTTGATTAGAAGAGATCTGTCGGAGAGCTGTGCCATTCCATACTTTCTCTAATGTACATGCTTCCATTGCTTCTTGGGCTGACAGCAAATGTGAACAAGAGACCGTAGGAGAGGGCCGAGATTTGTCGCACCCACTTCAATTGCTTCTTGCTGCATGTCTTCGCTCTTTGGTTGTCAGGCTTCTTGCAATGAATCGAGTTCGGGGCCAGTATACCATATCCACAGATTTAATAGAAGCTGTTCATACATCAGTCCCTAATATGTGCATCAATGTAACATTTGCATCACTCACGCTCGAGTTTCTGTTTCTTCTCGGGACCCTTGGGATCCATGGCTTCTGAGGCGTCCATCTCGGTCGATAAAGATTCGATGCCGGTGTCAGGAAGTGTGGGGATAAATCTTGTTCAACTGAGCAGTGTAGAGATCGAGTTTACTACTACATAAGTCATAGGATGCCGGGCCTTCCAAGACACTATGCACGGACCCCTCTGAACAATCTCCACAAAGAGGGTTTCCTAAACTTTTCATACGGTCAACTCAGTCAACTCAACTCGCACAATCAGACAGCAGCATGGACGACGACGCCGCCATTCCAGACACTAGGGTCTTCGTGTCCGGGCTGCCACCAAACTTCACCAGTAATCAACTTGGTGCGCATTTCGCTGGTCGTTACCAAATTACAGACGCTGTGGTTATTCCTGATCGTCGAATCGGCTTCGTGGGCTTCAGGAATTACACATTGGCTAAAAGTGCTATCAAGTACTTCGACAAGACATATATCCGGATGTCGAAAATCTCTGTCATGATGGCCAAAGCAGTATGGTTCGCCTATCAAGTACATCTCGTCTCATTGCTAATTTGAATGCCCAAAGGTTGAGATTGAGCGAACAAACACTTCGCAAGGAGTTCCTAAAACAAAGTACGTCAGCCAGGGTAACACTACGTGGTCTTCAGTCTCGGAGTCGGTCCCCACTGTTGCGCACAATACACCCAACCCCAAATCAAACCATGGCATTGACTTTAAGCCTTATGTACCTGTCCCGAGTTCCAATAAAAGGAAACGTGATTCCGGAAGCAATTCGCAAGAGGAGTCTTCGCGGCCTACAGGGCCGGCTTCGGCAATGCGTCCTGCTCTGGAGGATAGGAATGGTCTTTCAAATCCTGTTGATGAACATGAGAGCCGCCGAGACTTGAAGAAAGCAAAGAAGAAAGAGAGAAAAGAGCGTTTAAAGCAGGATACTAGCACAGGAAGTCAACAAGGCGATGAAGAGGGAGAGTCGAATATATTAACGTCTTCAAAGTCCACGCAGAAGAAGAAGACAAAGGAAGGAAAAGCAGCTGCAACGGGATCTGATGATGAGACTATCGCCGCGCCCTTGTCAGAAGATCTGCCAAGTGGACGAGAATCACAAGCTAAGGATGGAACGAAAAAGAAAAAGAAGAAAAAGCATACCTCATTCATCGAGACGAATGGCAAATATGATCCGAGCGATAGCCAAACCATCGATGAGAAGCACCATCTGAAAAAGACGGAGCCAAGGGGAAAGGTTGATGATGATACCAAAGGTGGAGTTGCACCTATCGATGACCACGCTCTCGGACCTGCTGATCAGTCTGCTGATCAGATAGAGCAGCAGCGGCCAAAAAGCGACATCGCCACCGACAATGACTGGCTCCGAGCCAAGACTAGTCGTGTACTCGACCTCACAGATGCAGCTCCAGAGTACGCAAAATCCGTACCAACAGACACTGAAGATCTAAGCAAACGGCCAACAACCGAGCAAGACGTCAAGAATACCGAACAGCGAATCACACCCTCCGCCGATTCCTCCACCAAACCTTCACCCAACACTTTGGTCTTAAGTGCACGGCTTTTTGTGCGCAACCTCCCATACACTGCAAACGAATCAGAGATTGAGAGTCTCTTCTCCAAATACGGGCACTTGGATGAAGTAAGACACCCCAGCTCACCTTTCTCCTCATTTCGTGATGACTGCCTGATAGGGACAGCTTATGCGCTGCAATTGATGTCATTTCAGAGAGAGTATTTTAGTAGATATTCTTTTGTCTGATTCTCGGTCTACCAACTATTCATTCAACCACGCGGCAAAAGAAATGCTAATAGACTTGCAGGTGCACGTCGTTCGAGACAAAGCTGGCAGTAGCAAAGGAATCGCATATGTTCAGTTTTCAGACCACGATCACGCAAGCCATGCCCTCCAGGAATTAGATGGCAAGTCTTTTCAGGGACGACTATTGCATATCCTAGAAGCAGCCAACAAAAAGTCTCACAGACTTGATGAATTTGAGATATCTAAGCTACCTCTAAAGAAGCAGAAAGCTTTAAAGCGGAAGATGGAGGCAGGAAACTCGATCTTTCAGTGGAACTCCATGTACATGAATCCCAACGCTGTTCTGTCTTCTGTTGCAGATCGACTTGGTGTGTCAAAAGCAGACTTGATAGACGTCTCGTCTGCCGATGCCGCTGTTAAACAAGCCCATGCAGAGACGCATATCATTCAAGAGACTAAAGCTTTTCTGGCAACCAGTGGGGTGAATCTGGATGCCTTCAGACAACATGAAAGAGACAACACAATACTTCTCGTCAAGAATTTCCCTTTCGGTACCACGACTGAAGAGTTAAAAAGCTTATTCAGTCCTTACGGCGAAATTGTCAATTTCCTCCTTCCACCAAGTGGCACTATTGCCATTATTCAATACGCTCAACCTGGTGAGGGAAATCATGCAATGAGAGACCTCGCCTATCGTAATTTTAAAGGCTCAGTACTGTACCTTGAAACTGGTCCGAGAAACCTATTCGACAAGAGCGTCCAGCCTATTTCGCACAGCAAATCTCCTGATGCCGTGGCCACGCCAGCTCAGGATGGTTCTACTTTAAACAAAGTCGAAGAAGTCTCGTCATCTACCTTGTTTGTTCGGAATTTGAACTTCATCACCACGACTTCTGGACTAACTCGTGCCTTCAAACCCTTAGACGGGTTTCTCTCCGCCAAGGTCAAGACCAAGACCGACCCCCGAAGACCTCAGGAAATACTGAGTATGGGATTTGGTTTTGTTGAATTTCGCAGCAACAAGCAAGCTCTAGCTGCTCTAGCAGCCATGAAAGGCCATCGCTTAGATGACCATGAGCTTCTCATCCAGACTTCACGAAAAGTCACCGATGCAGCTGAGGAACGCCGGCACAAGGATAATATGAAGAAGGTTGACGCGCATAAAACAAAAATCATCATCAAGAATCTGCCTTTCGAAGCGAGCAAGAAGGATGTACGTGCTCTTCTTAGTGCTTATGGCCAACTTCGATCTGTGAAGGTGCCTCAGAAATTCAATCACGATACTCGTGGTTTCGCCTTTGCAGATTTCGTCACCGCCAGAGAAGCGGCAAATGCCATGGAGGCTTTGAAGGATACACATTTGCTTGGAAGAAGATTGGTCTTTGAATTTGCAGAAGAGGAAGCTATCGACCCCGAAGCCGAAATTCGTGCCATCGAAAATAAGGTTGGTCGACAAACTGAGATGATCCAACTCAACAAGATGACTGGCTCGGCCCGGAAGAAGTTTATTGTAGGTCCACAGGACGATGATCAATGAATCCTTGTGAAAGTCGCCAGCTTGACAGGTAGGAAGGTTCGGCGGCTGGTGTTGTCCAATCCCTTGCATCTCCGCCAATTTGTCAGATCTCAGCAAGACAGTATTAATAGGACGTCGAAGCACAACTCTTCTGCTGAATCATGTTCTTATCTACACCCCAGGCAAGCAATGAATTGCTTCTTCTGCATTAGAGCATTGATTTTCTTTTCAAATTCTCTCTTCAAATTCTCTCGGTTTCCAAGCACCCAACGACCATGCTTTCTTCATTCCTCTTTCGAGATTGCGAACCTCTTTTCTTCGTTCCGCCACATTCCACTTGGAGTGCACGAGCTTTTCAATTTCTAGATCGTCAAAGAGATCGGTCGGTGCTACAATGCGTTCCTACGTTCTTACTGCATCCGGGTATTCGGCGGCCCCTTACATGGATTCTGGGCTAACGCACCCACACCATACTGTGTATGTCGCCGCAAGGACACTGCTTTGATATCTTGTATGATCTGTGGGGAAGTCGTTGTGCAGTCCTTCGTTGACGGGTGTGCATCACTCCCGTTGGTCGTCCAATTATTCCTACCCGCTTCGACCAAGGAGGAGATTGTAGTGCCTACTCTCCTGGTGTCCAGGGGCGGCTTTGCACGGATGAGGTCAGCAGAGGTCGATTCTTCTTAAATCAATGTCTCCCACAACAGCATTCCCGCTCTCCTCTTCATCAGACATTCTCTACTGTATCTCATTGTCACTCATTCCACTCCACGTTCCTTTGAGCCCACAATCTGGGTATAGTCTCGTTCTTTGTTCATTCTCGAGCTCGGCTACACACTCGCGCTATTGAAAGATTCATGGAGCACTGGCCGACCGAACTTTCCATTCCTTCGTCACATTCTGAAGAACAAAGATCGATCCGTGGGGCAGGGCCCCTGAAAACCGTGTCAGGTAATAGACAAACTTTCGCCCTGGATTGTCACGCCGGTTCTGAGAATCAGAACCCTCATGATTTGTATTACATCAATTCTGCCTTGGCTGAAGCCAATTGTGCATCCAATACATTCCCTACCACTGCAACCCTTGGATCTAATGATAATGATCTTGCCATTCACCGCTTACAGCATCGACATCAGCGCCGCCAACAACAGCGTGCCTCTGCAATCGATTTCAGAATTCAGGATCGGAGTTATCTGAATTCGAAGAAGTATCAAGGGTACCGAGCTCGACAACGGAAAGACCTTGGGCACGATAACAAGCAAGTCTGGTCCGACGATGTTGAGGAAGCATTTCAAGAAGGTGCGTTGTTGCTCTATCCAGATGTAGGGCTACTGACTTGTGGGAGCTCTTTTCGAGATTAAGCCTATGGGCAAAGGGAAACGGTCGCAACATGGCAGGCCCCACGGGAGGAATGAGCTCGTTGCCGAGTACATATTTCGGAGGACTGGACAGCGCCGAACTAGGAAGCAGGTGTCCAGTCACATCCAAGTGCTCAACGCTTTGCTCAAGGACATCCCATCCTGTACTTGTCCCGATTACCCGGATCTGACCTGCGCTAACTAATGCCAGGGCGCGTGCTGATCCAGGCGATTGACCGTGCTGACGGACGACCTGTGAATGGAGGTTTTTATGAGAACTCCATTGAGCATTCTGTGGAGCGCAGGAACAAGCGCCTTGCAGCACAACATTCATCTTACCGAGAGCATGGTTACAGCGTTCATACAGACAACCTTCCCTCGGCACCTCAGACTCTGGGTTCCAATGCATGCACCATCAGCGGTAAGCGGGTGACGGGCGTCAATTTCGAAATGTGGATGTCTCCCAACCAGAGCAATATGGACAAGAGACTCCACGACTTCACTAGTCTGCAAACTGCGCGAGATCTGCCTCGGTGCGATCCCAGTCCTTTAGAAGATGTTCGTGACTGGCGTGCTCTCTATCCATGTCTGGCAGCGACGCTGGATGGGAAAGGTGACGTCCCGGAATTCGACATCATCGGGATCGAGACATCTTACAAGATGATGTCCGATTTTCCACCACCAAAGGCAACCTTGGGGTTGAGGCTTGAGCTGGATTTCGGACCGAGCTCTCGTGAGGAGCTCTATGACTGGACCTGCACCACGCATATCTACCGAAATGGTATCCCGGTGAAGCAGGCAAGCCATTACCGACTGGAGGCGAAATACGGGATGATCGCACCTCCTTTCGATTCGATGTGGTGGGCCTTGACCTTCATCGATCGGATGGAGCAGAAGAAGCAAGCAGAAGAAAGCGGAAAACGCGATGTTTATGATGCAGCTCAACAAAGGGCTCAGAAGTTCTTCTCGGAGCTTACGGCTGTCCATGAAATCCGGGCTCGGTCACAAGCTGACTCTAGCTCTCAGGATCAGCGACCTGAGAGGAGGCTTGTGGCGGCGCTGTTGTGGAGGTTCTCTATGGCACCGGAAAGCTTTGTGGGGACTACATCCTGGCAGAGACTTCTCCCACCCCCTGCCCGGATCACAACTAACAGCCCTGCTCCAGACCAACGAGAAATGTCCCTGCCGCCCCTGGCGATCGACACGATTGTTGGTGGTCTCCATCATTCTACCGACTTGAGCGCCACCAAAGACCTCCTTGTTGGGCAGCCCCATGACTCTTTTCAAGACTACGAGGCCGTTCTGGATGATCCAACCGCTATGCTGGGCCATCACGACTTTGAGATGGCTTTCAAGGACGACGACATAGCACACTTCGCGTCGATGCAATCTTCATTTATATCATCCACCCAAAATGCTCATGACGGATCAAGCTACCCCACAATCGACCATCTTGACTATGATATACAGCTTCATGGTCTCTCGACGCCCTCACATCACGATACCTTTCAACCAGCTTGCAGCAATATTTTTGAGGCTCAACACATCAATCGAAATGACTACCTCGAAGATCATCAAAAGCAGTCCCAGGGCCACATGTACGAACTGCACCAAGACTTCGAGCATCATATTGTCGACGCCGACGACCGAACACAACGTCGGCCCCTGGCCAACTTCGACCAAAACACCCATAACATGCTCCAGGCCCAATTAAGAGAACCCCGAACCGACCACAGCAAGCCCGAGGACGCCGGCGATGAGACGCTGAAAGCCGCCCTGGCCGCAGCCTCCGCCATGAGCGATCTCGGGACCTCACACGCCGGCTTGCCTCTTCCTCCTCCACACCCATCCTCACAGGCAGAAGCAAAGCAAGAGCACATGTCTGCACTATGGGAGGGAGATGCTAAGTCGTCGTCGTCGTCGGCGTCGTCTGTCCATCATCATCATCGACCCCAGCTCCACATGCACGCGAGCTTCACCAGCCAGGCGAGCTACACGCCTCACCATGACCATGAGCACGAGCACGAGCAGCCAGCCAGCCCCGACGCCGCCTCGGCAGTCCATCTTCGTGCCTTTGACGCCGAGAATCAGCTTCCGGCTTCCCCTTCCGCGGGCCTGGACGCGCACAGGTATCATAACAATAATCCCGCGACAGCTTCGCCGGAGATACGCCGGCTGCTAGAAATGCATAATCAGTCTTTCGATTAATTGGGGAGTAATGAGCAGCAGAAGCACGCGATGGGGCAGAGACTGGTTCAACAAGATTTTTTCGATGCTGACCCTGGTGGGGAGTTAAAATGTGCTCCACTGGGTCGAATCACTTGGCAGCAGGATGGGCCGGGATAAATATCAGCGTGTCACTGAGTGATGCTATCTGGGTGGGGGCCTCGGCCAAGATGGGCGGTTTGTTATGTTTTCTTTTCGAAGTGTGGCACTGCTGGAGCTGGAGCTGGAATTGGTTCGGTTTTTTGTGTCACAGAGAGAGTACTGCTGGTGAAATCACTCGTTCATGTCTTTTGCTTGCTACACCTAGTATGTTATCGCCTATGTTATCTATCAATATACCAACACGAAACCCTTCACCACGTTTTTTCCTACATCCAATGTCTAGCCGGGATGTTTGCATGATGACGGAAGATTCAAAGCCATCTTTGGTTGTTGTTGTTTTTTTTGGAAACTGTCATCCGTGTAACTAAAGGTGATTCGAGTTCGTGGTGTTTTCTTTATAGGCCGGAACCCCAGCCCGTGTCGTTTCGCGGATCATCACCTTTTGACACTGGCAGTTCATGATTATCACCATCACGCTTGGGCTATGACTGGTCTCTCTGGTCTCGAAAAGGGCGCCAGCAGCTCTTTTTCGACACACGATCTCAGGGCCGCAGTCACTGCTGCCCGTAGCTGTTTGCCCCTATCCATTTTCAGACATACAAACATACATACAGCCTCTCTGTCTCTGCCTTGAAAAGCTGACCGGTCTTGAACTCGGTTTTGAAATTAACGTTCCTTGAAAGCTAAGGTTAACCTACTCGGCTTGTCTGGCATCGTATCGTATCGTATCGGCCGAACTTGAACCTCCCTTTAGATCAATACAGATGCATTGCCCGCGCGTGGGAGGCCATCAAGTAGATGTATTACCTACCCCCCCTGCAACCCTTGGATCTAATGATAATGATCTTGCCATTCACCGCGGCAGCACGACGCAGTGAGCTCTCTGGCCGGCCGTCTAGGGGCGATAAGAAGCAACAGGGTAATAACCGCACCTTCTGTAGGCGTGCACTAGCGAAGGAGGACATTGCATTCAACAGCCCCAGCCAGGCTTGGTCTGCCATTGCGTCGTTGTAATAACCGCCCTCTTGACCTGCTCTGCCGGGACAGGCAACGTCAAGAGACCTAGTTAGTCAAAGTCAAAGGTGAATCTACTCCTCCTCTGGGAGTTCCCCCCGGGGCTCTGCTCTCCTCCACGCAGCACACTCTCATCAGCCCAGCCAGCCAGCCATAATGACGGCCCAAAAAAACCGTAAATTAATGTAGACAGATAGGATGGTCGGTTTTTTCCCCCCAAATTCTCATGACCGCACGGGATCACTTATTGGGGCGTTCGGATTCCCTGACAAAATTGGGACCTTCTCTGTTGTCCGCCAAGTAAATAATGAATGCCGCATGTATTCGAAAACAGAATCCTGCGCGGAGGTTTTTTCCCCCCTGTTTACCTACTTTTCATTCAATCGATAGAGCTGCGACCCCCGGGGGTTGTTTTTTGTAATCTTTTGTTTGTGTGCCCTGCCCTGCCCTGCCCTGCCCTGGAGAAAAAGCTACGAGAATAAGTAAATAAGGGAGTTTTGGGGGGTTTTTTTTCCTTGAGCACGGCTGGGTGTAGTTCCCTACCTCAATGCCTTGCCGAGCCTTTTGCTGGTTAAGGGGGCCAAGGGAGAAGTTCAGTACTGGTAGAATGGGAAAGAGTGCGGAGTAATCTTGGGAAGAGAAGAAGTGCACTCGATTTCACACCTGTGAATAATACAGGGAGGGAGACGCGTCGCTGAGATATCACCCCCCAAAAAAGTAGAGAAATAGCTAATTGGATTTACACTCTGGCAGTTACAGTAGTCGCTAAGGAGTGCAACGCCACCGGCTTCCCTTATATTCTTTTCTTGCTTGCTGTTCTGTCTGCTCCTCTTGAAGGCCAATTCATATGTTCCGCTCGGTAGTTGTGATGAGTATCTGCTCTGAATGGATTCGAGGCGGACTACTCATCCTTTCTCGGCCATTCGGAGCTGATTATAATGAAGGGCCATTTGCGCCGTACGAAGAGGATCCATGTGTGAACGTACCGCTGTAATCAAGTAAACCACGGGTCCCCGCTAAGAAAACTTGAAAGACGGTAGATGCTTACAGGCTCATCAGCTCTTCTGCTCTGAGTAAGAGGGGAGAGCTGGCTCTAAACATAAACAGCATGCATCATAAGGAGAATACCTCGCGTCATCTCCGTCAGTGAACCGGAAGGACGCCTTTCCTGCACTATGATCTAACAGTCGACAAAAAGCCAAAAAATAGATTGGCATACTCGTAGGAAGCTGTGATGAAGAGCGCTGCTGAAAGCCCAGCAACTCAGCCTCAGAGAAATGTACCATCTCAATTCTTCTACACGCCGCAAGTCTGAGCTTCCATGTAGGCGCATCAGACATGATGAGGTAGCCTTCTTGCACCAACTCTGCATCAAGGGCTCCCCAAAATGCAAACAAACAGGCAAGCAAAACTCCAACCCCTAAACCTGCATCCACATTAATCTGTGGTGACGGGTCAGGAGCTTGAGAAACCCTCTTCTTATGTCAAGAGGATTTTTTGTTTCGACCGAGACAAAGGAAGGAGGCAAGGGGAACGAACGGGTCTTCTGGTACACTGAGCTCGGAGGTCAGTTGCGTGTATTTTGCTAGTGTAACAGCTTTGGTACTGGTGATTTGGTGGTCTTAGGCAGACAGGGGCTTTATTCCCACTGCACCACGGTACCAAAGACATTGGCTGTAGTTGCGGGACATCCAGATATACAGATTGTGTTCGTGTTCGGGAAAGACCGCGAACATTCTGGCGGTCACGAGTGTTCAAGTGAAGGGATGTTGCAATCCTGCCATTGAGAAAGATCAGTCGATATGGATTGTCGACACCGGAAGGGACATTGCACTCGTGTTGCACTTCCACTGCGATTGAGCGAAGCACTAGCCCGAGTGTAGTGTTTGCAGAAACGGACAACGGACAACGGATTGCGATTGCTGCTTGTACTTGTTGGTGTTCGACTCCCTGGTCTCATCCATCCTACCAATTGCCAGGATCGTCTCTATCCATGTCTTTCGACCCGCTACACCTATCTTTCCCAACTCGGAAAACCGTCCTGGCCAATTTTGCAGTTCCCCTTCCCTTGTGAACGCTTCCTTTCAAGGCTTTTTCTGCATAGACAAGCTACTGGCTGGCATGCCTTGAACTAAGGCTCGTCAGGAAAGTGGCTTGACAGGCGTGGAATATGGCAAAGGCAATAGGACATGTCAGATTTAGGACAAGATACGCAACAATAGCATTCGCAAGCAACAAATTAGTGCTCCAGGAACGGCGTTCCCATGGTCGATAGGCAATTTCGGGGAAAACAATACTTCTTCATACATCTATCCGGGACAGTTCAGATGGGTATCCTACAAGTCCTTGCGCATGATGGAGGACCGTGGAGCTGAAGATGATTCGGAAGCTTGCGGATCTGCCGCTGCAATCTCGCTCTAGTCCCCCGATCGGGGAGTGAGACCAGGGCAGCATCCGTTAGCTTACCCAAATAAGCAACATTGTTCCTCGACTATTTGTCAAATCAGGAAATGGACGGGGAGTAGATCCAAGGGGAAAGGCCGCAGGAAAACCAGCTCATCTCTGCTGCGGATATCCGCCACGATGGTCTTGCCGTCTACCCACGTCGACGACACAGCTTCCTCTCTACCTCGATCGACACAGCAATTCGTGCGACGGAGACAGCACCTACTCGCAACAAATCAAGAGTGTCCCGCCGCCATCGTCGTCGTCGAAGCACAACTGAGTTCGAATCTCTCTAGCACGTCATGATGCGCTTCATCCGATAGGAGATTCAGCACCAGCAAACACTCCACCGGCTGCACACTCCTCCCTCGACGATCAAACAATCTGCCACTCCACCAGCATCACCACAACTACCAACCATGGATCCCTCGTCTTACACCTACACCCCCTCCCCGCCGTCCCCCTCCTCCT